ATTAGAATCCAAAGTGATATTTGGTTGTGAACAATTTCACATTCAGGAATGGCATAACCTGGACTTATAATTTTATTGGACAGCTTACTATATGGATGTATCCTTCTCGATAACAGGATGCTAGATGTAGCAGTGTATCAAAATCTCTTTCAATCTCTTTTCATTCAAATTAATCCACTAGAACCATATACATATTATCGGTAACTTTACATATGCTCTTACTGTCACCATTTCATCCAGATATCCATATTCTGAATGATAGTACTATGTATCTTTGGCATACAGCTTTAGATTTTATTGCTCGAGTCTATGGTTTTTGTTGTGTCATTGGCGAGCTAGTCTTTTGGAATATGTACCGTAATAATCATTGTTTATTGGATCCAGCACCATCACCACCAGTGGTCCATATATTTAAAACTGCATATCCAGGATTGCCAAGATTGCCATGTACATGTACGTAATGGGAATAAAACTTGTTTTCAGAGGTTGAGATGATTCATCAGTTGAGAAATCCTGGAATGGTAAAATGTATATTATGTATATAATTTCGAAGGAAATGTTTTTGTTTTTTTTACAGAATTCAAATTTATTTCTAATAATCAATACAATAGAATACATATGAACAATTTGCCATTATTGATAAGTCAACATTATCGGCCATTGGAACAATGTTAATAAAATAAAAATTTATATTCAGAAATACACAAAGTCAAATGATCTATAAAAACTCCACAGTATTTACGTTTCTATATGATATTCATGTTCTTATAAAAAATGAGTGAAAAGTTTATATCTAGTCTTTTGGATACAAACCTTGTGATACAAACAACTGCACTTACATGTAGGCCTATTTGTACTGAATACTGTACACTGATGAATTGGCAAGGTTGGTGCGGAGTCACTTTCATTTGCTGATTTTCCAGTAGATGATTTTCAAACTGCATAGCCAGGATTGCCAAGTTTTCAGAGGGCGAGATGATGCATTGTTGGAGAAATCCTGGAATTGGAAAATGAATTTATTATACACCATTCTACATGTACATGATGCATATTTCAAACGAGACGTATAAGGGATGTATAAGTCCAATGATCTGAAAGCTCAATGACTTAAACGTGTATTCTCAAATTAGAATATCTAGCTTCCCATCACATCCAATGAACAAGACATAAACATTTCTCAATTTGTGATAAGAAGATCAAAAAATCTGAAAAAACATTAATACATGACAGTTGATATATTGATCAATTGTTTACTAGCCAGCTGTTATTTCATTTATGTAAAAACTATTGCTTTTATCAATACAATTTATTGGTCTGAGACCAGTTTTACTAAGAACAAGGCCAAGTGAAATTAGCTGATCTGGTAATATCAGATCATATTAATTAATTTGATAATTATCAAAATAATAGTGTATAGGAATAATTTCATTTTTATTAAAACTATCGCTTTTATTGCTATATGTTAGAAAACTTCAGGACTGATCTGAATTAGTTTTTCTGCATGGTTATATCAGATAATATTGATGATAGCGCTAATTTTGATAAATATCAAATTCATCAATAATATCTGATAATGTTAATTTCATATGTGCTCTGTAGGTTATTCCATACTCCAAATGTATTGATAATTGATGATTATCAAATTTATCGACTAATTTATCACTACTAGAATTTATCGCTATTATTGATAAAAGTGAGTTTCTGCACCTAAATGGAACTGCCTGTATATTGGTATGAGTAATGTATATTTTGAAAAAAGTAAATGTCACACTCCGATGACTGACATGAAAAACAAGTCTTGCATGAACCCCTGGTCTTTTCCCAATCAGTCATTTTTAAATTGACCAATATGTAGACCAATATTTCCATACAGTGTCAAGGGTTCAAAGGAAGACTGAAATATTGTTATGCAATTAATTCAATATGGGATAATCATATCATTCAGGGCTGTCAACTTGGGACCACCTAATATGAGTGACTTCAAAATGTTGGACACCTAAGTCCAAATCTGAACACTTTTGTCCAAATTTTGAACACCTTTGGCCAACTTTTAAACACCTTTGGCCAAAGTTTGAGCACCTTTGCCAAACTTTGAACACCTCAAATTTTTCGCGCTCGCTACGCTCGCGTTGTCGTCAACGGGGGGGGGGGGGGGGGGGGGGGGGGGGGGGGGGGGTAGGTACGAAAAATTTCCAATGAACATGCGTGACACATACGGGATTCGCGTGACAAATCCGAACAAATTGCGTTCGTTTTTTTCCGGCGTTCGTATTTTTACCGTATCGTAAACATATTTCGAAAAAATTTCTACAGAAATATTTTTGCTTGACAATTACCAGGTAAAATGCGTATTTTGCGTGACATTTTCTGTCACGCAAAAAAAACTGGCGTGACTTCAAATTCTTCAGCAAATGCGTGACAAATACGCAAATTGCGGGACAGTTGACAGGCCTGTATCATTATATATCTCGTATTAATATTTTATTGTATTTTATTTACCAATTTACCTCAGTGTAAAGCTGCTTGTGTCTGCTTGAGACCCGGGCTTGAGATTGGATTTTCAGCAAAAATCAAACAAATTGTTCCATCAAACTAGTCGTCGTTATCGTCCATAAATAAATCAGGCATCTGTCAGATGTACTTGGAACGGCTTATTGATAGTAAGTATCGATCTATCAACTCAAATACGGCAAGATTCATCGTTAAATAGACAGAACAACGACGAAATGTACAGAAAACTGAAATTTCATGTTGACCGGAAATTGTTGAAAATCTCTACCGGATTACGTTACAAGCGACGTCCTATTGGTCAATTCACATTGGCGCTAACGTAGCCATCTTTAAAACTCCAAATTTTGTAAATAGTCAAATGCGGTAAGTAATTATTAAAAATTAGGGCTATAAATCGAAAATGTGCTCGCATAAAATCATTTTCTGGTATCTCTAGTATTGCCTCGAACGCTTTTTGCGTCAATTCGTGCTAAATTGAAGATTTGTTTGTATGAATGCGGGAAACAAAAAATTCATCGAAATTAACAGTTTTCCAGCGTTCATTTCTTTATTAATGATCCGATTTTAACGATCATACTCATTTTTGTGGGGAAGGATAAGCTTAATCTCTATGGAAAAAATCAGGTCAATCCATGCGCTAGATCAAAAGATCCTGCGAGCGAAGTGCATTTTACACTTACTCTGTTAACGTACAGACGCCGGGGGTCATTTCCAAAAATTTCTAGTTTGTTATATAAAACTTCCTAAACTTGTTTATATGATCGAATATGAATATTTATTGATCAGTGGCAATAAAATAAGACCCAAAAGTACAAAAACCTGAATAACTAATCACAGACCTCTAGTAGCCGTTATGGAAAATAAAAACACCGAATTTTGAAATGGGTTAAAATGTCGCAGTCTTACGTTGTCTCCGTTAACAATGTAGCTTTAATATTAAGACATATTGATTTCAATTAATAAAGTGCCCACATTTTTCTTTCATGGAGCGCATTTAAGCAATCCAATATTATAATAAAACCGCTAATAATCTAAATGGTCGCCCGTGTTTTTGCAAGCACGTTATAAATGTAAAACTAAAATATATCTTTCAACTGCTGCACTTGTCACTTCTGGTGACTTATTTTGAAAAATCATTTATATTTATTCATTACAACTTTCAAATGTCAAAACTTAATTTATCAATACCCGCTTTTATTAAAACACTCAATATGTCTATGTCAACAAGATAGTGTCAACATGTTGTGTCAACAACATGTAACCTAATGTAAACAAATTATACGCAAGAGCAGAGAAATGTATCATCCAGTATAATATGTTTTTCCCAGTTGAACCAGATGGAATATAACAGCTGATAACAGCTGATAACAAATTAAAACAAATTATACAAGTATCAGAGGAGAAACTCCAAAAAAGTCCGTATCATTCATTGTTATAATTATGTCTTATACATAAACCTATGATAACAGGTTAAAACGAATTAAAACAACTGATATGTATGTTTAATAGGTTTATGATACTGTATTAATCATGGGATTTTACATAGTGTTAACTGTAATTTAATAACACAATATTTTCATTGTCACTTCATGTGCAATACAAAGTAGTGAGTTCATATCAGATATCAGTCGAATTTACATCGTACATACAGCACACGTGAGTTCATATCCATTAATATATTTTGGACAAGGAAGAGAACCACAAATGGCTTCCACCACATACAGAAGACCACCATCTTTGCTTTCATGACCTCCTTCAGCAGCCTCGGGAGCTTCATCAACGCAAATAAATTCAGACTTTTGATGGGAGTTGTGTGCACTCATTAAGTATCCACTGTACTCCTTAGTCCAAGAATCGGGGCATGATTTCATTGCAGGTAGCATAAAATGGCTGCTCCTCTCGGGGACTCTACAAACAGCACATACTGCATCTTGTTGATAGAGCCAACTAGCCGGTTGTGTAGGGTCGGGAAAGTTGTCAGTAAGAAACGGATTGTTTGCATAGTGAACCTCATACTCTACTCCATAGATATAAGTGCCTGATTGTGTACCAGCCATAGTGTATCCCCATTCAGGTTCCATGGGTAGACACAGATAGTTACCTCCTGATCCCGTGTTGGTAAAATGTGAATTTCCGATGATACATTCAACAAAACACACAAGTTTAAGTTTTAGTTGTATCTAAATTTCTTAATAGCATAATTAAAGTAAAACATATTCATTGATGAACTTACTGGGTCGACCGTAACCGATAGGCTCACTAAAGGTGGAAATTCATACACAATTATGTGTTAAATAATGTATCAATTTATTGTGAATTTTCAATGTCAGTGCCTATTGTCAATTTGTACATGGTCCTATATGTATTTGTTTACAACAAATAAACACAGTCTTCAACTATTGATATATACCTTTCTTAGAAAAAACTTAAATGCCTATTTTAAACTATCAAATACACAATTAGTGTCATTCGGGGTTCAAAGACTCGTTTTACACACCTGAATACACTTTCTCAACACCACTTGGGCATGTTGTTCTCCCCCATCTTGTATAAACAGCGCCACCTGCTAGACCTCTTGGGACTGGGGGCCCAGGGGGACCCTGCGCACCAGTGGATTTGTTACTGTATGGTGCAGCAATATGTAGCTGTTCAAGTAAGTTACTCATATCGCTAATGGATAACCCCTGTCCAATTAGACCCTAAATATGAAACAACATTTAGTTTTTATTCTTTTATTAAAAATTCCCATAATTTCATCTTAGAAAAAAACAGGAATCCTATCGACAGAGGTTTTAAAACGTACCACTGTTGTATCTGTATAAGGTTTCTCTATAAGGCATTCTGTATAATGTCTCTCTATAAAGTATTCTGTATAATGTCTCTCTATAAGGTATTCTGTATAATGTCTCTCTTTCAAGTATACTGTAAAAGGTCTCTCTATAAGGTATTCTGTATAATGTCTCTCTATAAGGTATTCTGTATAAGGATTCTCTATAAGGTATTCTGTATAATGTCTCTCTATAGGGTATTCTGTATAATGTCTCTCTATAGGGTATTCTGTATAATGTCTCTCTAAAAAGTATTCTGTATAAGCTCTCTCTATAAGGTATTCTGTATAAGGATTCTCTATAAGGTATTCTGTATAATGTCTCTCTATATGGTATTCTGTATAATGTCTCTCTATAGGGTATTCTGTATAATATCTCTCTACAAAGTATTCTGTATAATGTCTCTCTATAAGGTAGTCTGGATAATGTCTCTCTATAAGGTATTCTGTATAAAGTCTCTCTATAAGGTATTCTGTATAATGTCTCTCTATAAGGTATTCGGTATAAAGTCTCTCTATAAGGTATTCTGTATAATGTCCCTCTATAAAGTATTCTGTAAGGTCTCTCTATAAGGTATTCTGTATAAAGTCTCTCTACAAGGTATTCTGTATAAAGTCTCTCTATAAGATATTCTGTATAATGTCTCTCGATAAAGTATTCTGTAAGGTCTCTCTATAAGGTATTCTGTATAATGTCTCTCTATAAGGTATTCTGTATAATGTCTCTCTATAAGGTATTCTGTATAATGTCTCTCAATAAGGTATTCTGTATAAGGTCTCTCTATAAGGTATTCTGTATAATGTGCCTCTATAAAGTATTCTGTATTATGTCTCTCTATAAGGTATTCTGTATAAAGTCTCTCTATAAGGTATTCTGTATAATGTCTCTCTATAAGGTATTCTGTATAATGTCTCTCTATAAGGTATTCTGTATAAGGTCTCTCTATAAGGTATTCTGTATAATGTCTCTCTATAAGGTATTCTGTATAAGGTCTCTCTATAAGGTATTATGTATAATATCTCTCTATAAGGTATTCTGTATAAGGTCTCTCTATAAGGTATTCTGTATAATGTCTCTCTATAAGGTATTCAGTATAAGCTCTCTCTATAAGGTATTCTGTATAATGTCTCTCTATAAGGTATTCTGTATAATGTCTCTCTATAAGGTACTCTGTATAAAGTCTCTCTATAAGGTATTCTGAATAAAGTCTCTCTATAAGATATTCTGTATAATGTCTCTCGATAAAGTATTCTGTAAGGTCTCTCTATAAGGTATTCTGTATAATGTCTCTCTGTAAGGTATTCTGTATAATGTCTCTCTGTAAGGTATTCTGTATAATGTCTCTCTATAAGGTATTCTGTATAATGTCTCTCTATAAGGTATTCTGTATAAGGCCTCTCTATAAGGTATTCTGTATAATGTCCCTCTATAAAGTATTCTGTATTATGTCTCTCTATAAGGTATTCTGTATAATGTCTCTCTATAAGGTATTCTGTATAAGGTCTCTCTATAAAGTATTCTGTATCTGTTGGTTTAACTGTAATTTAATAACACAATATTTTCATTGTCACTTCATGTGCAATACAAAGTAGTACGTTAATATCAGATATCAGTCGAATTTACTTCGTGCATACAGCACACGTGAGTTCATATCCATTGATATATTTTGGACAAGGAAGAGAACCACAAACGGCTTCTACCACATACAGAAGACCCCCATTCTTGTTTTCATGACCTCCCTCATCAGCTTCGGGAGATTCGTCTACACATATAAACTCTGTTTTATGGAAATTGTTATGCATACTCATTAAGTATCCATTGTATTCCTTAATCCAAGAATCGGGGCATGTTTTCATTGCAGGTAGCATAAAATGGCTGCTCCTCTCGGGAACTCTACAAACAGCACATACTGCATCTTGTTCATGGAGCCAACTAGCCGGTTGTGTAGGGTCGGGAAAGTTGTCAGTAAGAAACGGATTGTTTGCATACTGAACCTCATACTCTACTCCATAGATATAAGTGCCTGATTGTGTACCAGCCATAGTGTATCCCCACTCAGGTTCCATGGGTAGACACAGATAGTTACCTCCTGATCCCGTGTTGGTATAATGTGAATTTCCGATGATACCTTCAACAAAAAAACTAATGATACCTTCAACAAAACACTAAGTTGTATCTAAATATCTTAATAGCATACTTAAAGTAAAACATCTACATTGATGAACTTACTGGGTCGACCGTAACCGATAGGCTGAACAAAGGTAAAAATTCATACACAATGATGTGTCAAATAATGTATCAATTTATTGATTGTCAAATAAACACACACAGTCTTCAACTATTAATATATACCTTTCTTAAAAACAAATGCCTATTTTAAACTATCAAATAAACAATTGATCTACCAAAAACTATGTACTATAATTTAAATTAGTATCATTCGGGGCTCAAAGACTCGTTTTACACACCCGAATACACTTTCTCAACACCACTGGGGCATGTTGTTCTCCCCCATCTTGTATAAACAGCGCCACCTGCTAGACCTCGTGGGCCTCGGGGACCAGGGGGACCCTGCGCACCAGTGGATTTGTTTCTGCATGGTGCAGCAATATGTAGCTGTTCAAGTAAGTTACTCATATCACTAATGGATAAGCCCTGTCCAATTACAACCTAAATATGAAACAACATTTAGTATTATTCTTTTATTTAAAATTCCCATATTTTCATCAATCAAAAACGAAGTATAAAAAAGAAACAGCTCCCTACGCTACGATCCCTTCTTTCCAATATCCTATCCATTCGTGTGTAAAAATAATATAAAGCCTAAAGGGGCCCTAGATCAAAATATATTCTCTATTTATTCAAAACTATCGTATTCATGAATGCATCGACCAAAATTAATCTGGAAAAGTAAGATAATGTTTTCACGTTTCTTTTAAAGCTTCGTTGTCCAATATGAATAAAACTTGTTGATTTAAGCCTGGTTTGATTATACATGACTGGTGATGTCACCACCATCAGGAATCCATTGCATTGTGTAGAATAAAAAGTGCACTTACATCCCTACCATCTCTGCCAGCTGCTCCCTGCACTCCAGGTGTACCTTGTGCCCCCGGGGTACCTTGGGGACCTGGTTTGCCTTCTGGGCCGGGTGGCCCTTGTGGTCCAACTAATCCATCTCTACCATCACGACCATTGCAATTGCAGCCTTGAATAGATAATGTTAATGAAAATGATTGTTCAGCTTTAATATGATTATGATTGTTATTAAGTAAGTGCTATGCAAATAAAAAATTAATCTCCATGAATTTTTAAGATTTAAATTGAATGTTTTACAGACCTGCAACTGCTGCTGTCGTTTGTCGTTTTATTCTGTTCAATGTTGTGTTAAAATACGTTTTTTCATCATTCTGATCTTTGGTGCCCGTCAAATACTAAAAATGTCAACAAGAAAAGATAAAACAAGATAGGATAAACGTCCAGAAAACACAATGAAGTGCATCAGATTATCACGAATCATTCTTTTTTCTGATAAAAAAAACTAAATGTCCCATCGATGTTTCATTTGGAAAGTGTGACATGTCGTACTTTGTTATCTTTGTAAACCGGGCGAGTGAATGAAATGCTCTGGTTTGTTATTGTGGTTAGACAATTACATTCATAGTTGATAGTTTCTTGATAAAAAATGTTTGTATAGATTCAAGTATATGTTGAGGTATGAAAACCTCTCGTAAAAAATCGTACAATGTCTGACATGAATTGGGGATTTCGAGCTGTTTTTAAAGAACATACCTGTATTTGTGTTTCCAGTTCACCAATACGTAACTGCGCCTCTTTTTGTTCATTCTTTACTTTCAGACATTCGACATGAAGGTCAAGAACTTCATTACGAGATTCGTTTTGTTGTTGAAGCAACTCATCTTTGACTTTGCCAAGTTCATGTTTGACCTGAATAAGCTCATCAGTTACTTGAACGAGATCGTATTTCACTTGGTGCAGTTCATCATTCAATTGGACTACTTTAGCGTCCAGTTCGACTGGCCCACTATCTTGTTTTTGTGTTTCGTAGTATACTACAATTGAGCATACAAAAGACAAAACAGCAACCACCAGAGCAAAAGTTATTGCAATGGTGTGCATACACAAGTTATTCTTCTTTTCCATGTTGATCAGATGCGTTCAGATCTTAAATTAAATATCTTGTTTACAACAAAACATGAGTCGTAACATACGATTCTCAATTTTACCAACATTGTAAACAACTATTTGAATAGGTGTCGACCCATTAACTCTGAAAACATTTGATTATGCTTACTGCACGTCACAAAATGGCATAGACCAGATATCTATGCATCTAAATGAAATATTCAAGATTGCACTTAAATGTTTATTTACTATTCAGTGCCATTTACCTGTTCTTCGACCACAGTGCTATTACATAACTAGATTGTAGCTTTTATTAGTGGCATGTGGGTGAATAATTACCACTTTGTAAAGTTTATAATACGTTACAGAATTTACTATTCCATTGACAGTTTTTCTTGACACTCCACTGGCGGATCTGGGGGGAACTTGGGTGGGCCCAGAATAAAAATTGGGCCCAAAAAAATTTGGGACCAAAAAAGGCCTTTGGGCCCCAAAAGTGGGCCTTTTTGGTCATTACAGGGCCTTTTAAGGCCTTATTTTTTAATTTCAGGCCAAACTTAGAAAATGGGTCTGAAAATTTCAAAATTTGGGCCCACTTTTGGGTTTTAGGGTCCCAACATTTTTTTTCCGCGCAAGCTCGGAAGTTTTTTCTCTGACCTGAAATTTGGGCCCTCTCCCTTGTTGTTTCCCAGATCCGCTCCTGCACCCTGTACGTGTGACTCCCGGGGTGCGACTTTGAACTTCTCCATCGTGACTTCCAAAATGAAATATTGTGTCCATAAATATATTTAAAAAAAATCTATTCGTAATGTCAGACAGACCTTCATCTAAACCAAGAGTTTTTGAAGTTGTGTTTTTGGCCATGACTTTGTAATTCATCTTTCCTTTATCTAATCTAACATGTTAGACGTTACAGTGGCACGCACATATTCAGTAGAATAATGTCTAGGCCCATGCACTTAAAATATAATTGATTTTATGAAAGCACATGAGACGTATTTATTCAGTTATTGCAACACTTGTTTCTATTTGAAACGTATTTCATAATACATGCACTTTGATTATCGAGCATTATAAGTAGTCTGACTCTGGAAGTTCCAATTTCTCTCTTGATATGCAAGCTTTAACCATTTTTATACTATTAATATTTAGCAAAACATGGAAAATGCAGGGCTCATTTCACGTTGGCCGCCATCATTTAAGATTTGAACTCAGTGAACTAGGTTGTATTCTTAGTTGAGATACACGCCCATCTCAGTTTCTGGAGCCATCATAGAATATCAGGTAATTGAATCATGTCAAATAATCAAGTCATATGTTTAAGGAATCGCCGTGGGAATAAAGACCGAGATTTTATGATTTATGGCGAAATATATGACCGAACATTTTATTCTGTTCATTGTTATAAGACCGAAATTGCGTGGCGATTGAGGTCTTTGGCAATGGCCAGAGTAAAATTTGAGGTCATATATTTGACATTATATAACATAACATTTGACCTCCGAAGTGGAATACCTCCTAAGTGGAACATCTCCTAAGAGGAACACCTAAGTATGGAACACCTCCTAAGTGGAACATCTCCTAAGAGGAACACCTAAGTATGGAACACCTCCTAAGTGGAACACCTCCTAAGTGGAACACCTCCTAAGTGGAACTTTTTGCTCAACCAATGGTATTTCACTTACATAGGTTTTACTGTAGTACTATAATCAGTACTATAGTCTAGTACTATAATCAGTACTACAATCTGGTACTATAATCAGTACTATAATCTAGTACTATAATCAGTACTACAATCTAGTACTATAATCAGTACTACAATCTAGTACTATAATCAGTACTACAATCTAGTACTATAATCAGTACTACAATCTAGTACTATAATCAGTACTATAGTCTAGTACTATAATCAGTACTATAACCTAGTACTATAATCATTCTAATACAGAGGTTTAAATGTTATTACTGTATTCTGAACTATGTATAGGCGTGTATTCTATATGTCCCAGTATTTTATTGACACCCCACGTGAATGTGAATGTTGGAAATACTTTTATTTGCATTAATAAATACTTGCATTATTAATTATGGCTGATTTTCTTACTGCCAGCTGTTTGTGACCAAAACAGAATTTTGTAAAGTGAACGATTTTTTCAATTTATACTTTTCTCAAAATACTGTAAATGTAATGAAACAATTCTATATCTCATCAGCCTTGAAAGAAGGTAAGAGGGAGGATGCCTCAAGTCCCACATTCAGAGAGTGATTTTGTCCTTATTCTTTAGTTAATTTCAGAGCAAAATATATACATACATTTTCATATGACATAAAGATGCTTCTTATAGGTGTTTTTATTCTGGGGATAATGATTTCAAGAGAAAATTGTCATTATAAAAATAATCTCTTCTTACATCAGAAACATTTGAAAAGCTGCAATAAAAATATATTTTTATCAGTGATTTCATTTCTTTAGAAATATGGAGCCCAGAAAGTACCTGCTATTGCACCCCCTCCCCTCCTATTTCACAGCAGCTAATATGACAATGCAATAGATTGTATTTCTTTCTGTTATTGCACCCCCCCCTTCCCCTCCTATTTCACAGCAGCTAATATGACAATGCAATAGATTGTATTTCTTTCTGTTATCGCACCCTCCCCCCTTCCCCTCCTATTTCACCGCAGCTAATATGACAATGCAATAGATTGTATTTCTTTCTTAACCAACTGTTCAAATATTGACATTGACCTATATTACATATTACAATTGTAGATCAATATCAATTATGTGCACTTACATCTTTGGTTCATTTTACTACTTTTCCACAACCGTATTCTCTCTAATAAGTACACAGTGTGCTCCCAAAAGTAACATGGAAAATGGAAATATTGAGAATCTCAAAGATGTATATATAAAAATTTTAGACAACAAATAAAGCTGGTAATGGGTGAAATCAAAACAAAAAATGATGTTTCAACTTCTTTAGTTGTTACCCCTAGACTATAAATGCTCTATGTCTCTCATACTTTCTTTGCATGAAATATAATAAAAATATATCATAAACATCAAAGCCCTGCTGGAAAAGGAGTACCATTTCATTAGAGGTAGTATGTGTTTAGGGGATGTGCGGTCCCTAGAGAGAATATGGTATATATTGCTAGAGTAGGCACTACATGCAAATCTGTCTTAATTAATTAACTACAAAGAGTGTTGAAATTTCTCTTGTCATAATAAAAGTGGCCCTGAGACCCATAAGTATAAATGTCATAATCGATCACAGAATTTTCTCTTTAATTAATCATCACTAATTTTCTTTTACAGTCTGTGAGGAGGTCAGATGCCAACTAAATTCTTTAAAGCAGTTAGAAGTATGCAGAATGTCTAGATTTCTCTTATCAAATAAGATTTGGATCTGGCACATGAACTGATGTGATCTTGTCATTGAATTTTTCACTAAATTCCTCTTATCTGTAGTACTTTTACTTGAACATGACAATGAGGTATTTTGATGTGGTTTTATTTGAGTTTACATACACAATGTACATGTATATCTGTTTTATACTTACAAACCATAAGCACGACTCTATTCTTATGACTCATTTCAATTAATTCACAGTTTATTATTTTCCCATATTTCATCATCAATTATATTTTGACTGTTCATTGTTTTAATTTGAGTGTCTTTGTTTTGTCTTTTGACAAGTTGTTTCTTCACGAGATATCTGATGCACTGCAGAAGGACATTCCTCTCATGTCTTATTTCTCTGGCTAGTAGCTGAAAATATATAGTAGTCTGGTTTTACAACATTTAAACATTACAGCAAGCACAGCAATATGGTATTACAACATAAAAATTGAGTTTTACAACATTTATATACAGAAATCTGGTATTACTACATATATAAAATATGGTTTATCAGCATCTACAAAAATTTGGAATGACAACATTTACAACAATTTGGTATAACAACAAAAATCATTCTGGCATTACAACAAGAAATAATCTGATTGATCAAAGAGCAGTCAATATTTTTTGTTATTATGCACCTCATTAAAATACTCAAATCTGATTGGTTAAGAGCTGCAGGGTCTATTGCCATAAGTGGCAGCAAGATCTCGTTCTATCCAGTATTGAAGCAACGAGATCTCCAACCATCCCATATGCCAGTATACCTATCCTCGAAAAAATACTAGGCTCGGCTTCTGTTTTAGTAGACCCATTCTTTAAAATAAAGTATTTCTCAAGGGAGGTACTGGATGACCATGAGGTGGATATGCCACTATGAGGTGGATATGCCAGAATACCTATCCACGAAAAAAATATCATAATATCATAATTCATTGCCAGTTAATGTTTGGAAGTGATGTCACATCATAATACATACATGTAAATAATGAGGCAGGACGCTGCAACAGGTAAAGTTGACCACCTTTCATGAATTTCAATTTCAATTTCAATTTTGGTTCCCCTTATTTTATTTTGATTAACAAAACAGCATTGGGATCAAGGTTTGTAGAACAGGGATATAATTGTGATTGTCAAATGCATACAGTTATATAGTTTACCCAGCCAGTAAATAAATGATCACATACCTTCTGTAAAAGTGTACTTTTCTGATGCTTAACATTGTTTGTGGTTGAGGGGTCATTCTTTGTTTTCCTTCTTTTCCTCCTATGCCTCTGTCTTCCTTTATTCTGTTCACGCTCTCCTTGTGGTTCCTTCTTCACACCACCAACATTCTCCTCTATTCTTCCTCCATTAGTGTCCAAATCCCCCGCTTTGTTACCAATACTATGATCTGGAATATGAAGCCTTTTTGTGAATTGATAAGTCGGTTAAGCTAATGAAGCAAAATGGACGAGTTATCTTAAATCATCTAGCTTAACCCCCATCATAGCAAAATAGACAAGCAGTAGAGAATCATGTTTTAATGTTTCCCCATCAGGATATTCCATTTTCTCCCTCTATGAGGATGTCTATAGTGAGTTTGGAGTTTTGGATTGAACCATATCAAAATACTCCTAACCAATCAAATTGCTCTACTGTTCATTATAACTCAGAGTACTTGTGAAGTATTTAAAATATAAATCAGCTGTCGTCATTCCATTGTTCCATGTGATTCTACTCATTTGATTTTTATGATATACTCATGTAATTTTACTTATGTGATTTCTATGATATTACTCATGTGATTTCTATGATATTACTCATGTGATTTTTATGATATTACTCATGTAATTTTACTCACATGATATTACTCATGTGACTTTACTCATGTGATATTACTCTTGTAATTTTACTCACGTGATATTACTCATGTGATTTTACTCATGTGATATTACTCTTGTAATTTTACTTACGTGATATTACTCATGTGATTTTACTCATGTGATATCATTCATGTAATTTTATTCATGTGATTTTACTCATGTGATTCATCAGTTTACTAAAGAAAGTTCTCTTTCAGGATTCATTTAAGAATGAATGTTGAAATCATTTTAGGCTTTAGCACACTTTAGGCTTCAGCACACTTTAATATTTAGCACACTTTAGGCTTTAGCACACTAGGATTTAGGACACTTTAGGCTTTAGCACACTTTAGGATTTAGGACACTTTAGGTCTTAGCACACTTTAGGATTTAGGACACTTTAGGCTTTGGCACACTTTAGGATTTAGGACACTTTAGGCTTTAAGACACATTAGGCTTTGGCACACTTTAGGATTTAGGACACTTTAGGCTTCAGCACACTTTAAGATTTAGTAAACTTTAGACTTTAGCACACTTTAGGATTTAGCACACTTTAGGATTCAGGACACTTTAGGATTTAGCACACTTTAGGATTTAGGACACTTTAGGTTTTAGCACACTTTAGGATTTAGGACACTTTAGGCTTTGGCACACTTTAGACTTTGGCACACTTTAGGATTTAGGACACTTTAGGCTTTAGGACACTTTAGGCTTTGGCACACTTTAGGATTTAGGGACACTTTAGGCTTCAGCACACTTTAAGATTTAGTAAACTTTAGACTTTAGCACACTTTAGGATTTAGCACACTTTAGGCTTTATTATAAGTCAAAGGCCAAGGAACTCTTAGAAAATATTTGAAAGATTTTTTGCATCAACTTATAAGTGTAAGCCATAAAGTACAAGACATTTGTGAAGAACAATGATGAATCTATAAGAAAGATTTTATATGAGTTTAAAAAGGTGTATTTTTGCATTTGGTGAGATGTTTATGAGTTTAATGATAAATTACAGTGGTGGTTATTAGTATAACATTAAAGATTTAAAAAGAAAAGTTACCTATGCATTACAGTTAAGTTGACCTAAAACCTAAATAACTATTAATGGGAGAGTTAGGGCATTAAGTTAGGGCATATAAAGAGTAACTGATATAAGGTTATTTAAGCGTAATATGTTGAAATGAACAACTAAAAATTCAATGTTGGAACCAGGTAATGTGAAGTTTAACGTCGAGAACAAGTAAGAAAACATGTAATTACGAGGAAAAATAGCCAACATTGGTAAAATGTGCTGCAAACAGTTTAAATGGAAAACATTCGCAATATCATTGGTGTTATAGTAGGGCTACTTGTGTGCACAGCTGGCGTTATTTGGAAAATATTCTTAAGGCACACAGCCCCTACTGGGTTTATAATCTGTTTAATTGGATGTGGTATATTGTTGGCTTTCTGCGATCATCCTAAAACTGTGGCCACACCAGAGAATATTTGCGAAAGACAGACACCTGAGAATATTTGCGAAAGACAGACACCTGAGAATATTTGCGAAAGACAGACACCTGAGAATATTTGCGAAAGACAGACACCTGAGAATATTTGCGAAAGACAGACACCTGAGAAAATTTGTGAAAGACAGACACCTTAGAATATTTGCGAAAGACAGACACAAATCCCAGTTGAGAATCCAAATGATGCTGTCGTTGAAAGCACAAATGATTTACATGTTAATGGACAATTTGTACCACCGCCATATGACATTTCTACTGCTCATCCAGCTACACATACAAACATTCAGTCAGCACCACCGATTGAAAGGAGGGGCTTGGGTAATGATACAAGAGCATTGCCACAGCCTCCTGACAACAATGCCTCATCATTTGGCCAAATAAATGAACCACCACCGCAACAGGACAGCGATAACCCTGCTCTTAGAGATAATGTGACTACATATACAGACACTATTAACCCATCAATTACACAGACTGATGTGAGGGGCTTGGAATATCGAACAACTGGCTCAATTTACTGGGTATGATGCTTCACCCCCTGCATATTATCCGCTTCAAAGGGCTGATCCACCAACATATGACAATTGTCACATCTGATTAACTGCATATTACCCACTTCAAAGGGCTGATCCACCAACATAAGACAATTGTCACATCTGATTAACTGCATATTACCCACTTCAAAGGGCTGATCCACCAACATATGACAATTGTCACCTCTGATTAACTGCATATTACCCACTTCAAAGGGCTGATCCACCAACATATGACAATTGTCACATCTGATTAACTATATATTACCAACTTCAAAGGGCTGATCCACCAACATATGACAATTGTCACATCTGATTAACTATATATTACCAACTTCAAAGGGCTGATCCACCAACATATGACAATTGTCACATCTGATTAACTATATATTACCAACTTCAAAGGGCTGATCCACCAACATATGACAATTGTCACCTCTGATTAACCGCATATTACCCACTTCAAAGGGCTGATCCACCAACATAAGACAATTGTCACCTCTGATTAACCACATATTACCCACTTCAAAGGGCTGATCCACCAACATACGACAATTGTCACATCTGATTAACCGCATATTACCCACTTCAAAGGGCTGATCCACCAACATATGACAATTGTCACATCTGATTAACCGCATATTACCCACTTCAAAGGGCTGATCCATCAACATAAGACAATTGTCACATCTGATTAACCGCATATTACCCACTTCAAAGGGCTGATCCACCAACATATGACAATTGTCACATCTGATTAACCGCATATTACCCACTTCAAAGGGCTGATCCACCAACATAAGACAATTGTCACATCTGATTAACTGCATATTACCCACTTCAAAGGGCTGATCCACCAACATATGACAATTGTCACATCTGATTAACCGCATATTACCCACTTCAAAGGGCTGATCCACCAACATAAGACAATTGTCACATCTGATTAACTGCATATTACCCACTTCAAAGGGCTGACATCAACATATGACAATTGTCACATCTGATTAACCGCATATTACCCACTTCAAAGGGCTGATCCACCAACATAAGACAATTGTCACATCTGATTAACTGCATATTACCCACTTCAAAGGGTTGATCCACCAACATATGACAATTGTCACATCTGATTAACTATATATTACCAACTTCAAAGGGCTGATCCATCAACATAGGACAATTGTCACATCTGATTAACTGCATATTACCCACTTCAAAGGGCTGATCCACCAACATAAGACAATTGTCACATCTGATTAACTGCATATTACCCACTTCAAAGGGCTGATCCACCAACATAAGACAATTGTCACATCTGATTAACTGCATATTACCCACTTCAAAGGGCTGATCCACCAACATATGACAATTGTCACATCTGATTAACTGCATATTACCCACTTCAAAGGGCTGATCCACCAACATATGACAATTGCCACATATGATTAACTGCATATTACCCACTTCAAAGGGCTGATCCACCAACATAAGACAATTGTCATATCTGATTAACCACATATTACCCACTTCAAAGGGCTGATCCATCAACATAAGACAATTGTCACATCTGATTAACTGCATATTACCCACTTCAAAGGGCTGATCCACCAACATATGACAATTGTCACATCTGATTAACTGCATATTACCCACTTCAAAGGGCTGATCCACCAACATAAGACAATTGTCACATCTGATTAACTGCATATTACCCACTTCAAAGGGCTGATCCACCAACATATGACAATTGTCACATCTGATTAACTGCATATTACCCACTTCAAAGGGCTGATCCACCAACATATGACAATTGCCACATATGATTAACTGCATATTACCCACTTCAAAGGGCTGATCCACCAACATAAGACAATTGTCATATCTGATTAACCACATATTACCCACTTCAAAGGGCTGATCCATCAACATAAGACAATTGTCACATCTGATTAACCGCATATTACCCACTTCAAAGGGCTGATCCACCAACATAAGACAATTGTCACATCTGATTAACTGCATATTACCCACTTCAAAGGGTTGATCCACCAACATATGACAATTGTCACATCTGATTAACTATATATTACCAACTTCAAAGGGCTGATCCATCAACATAGGACAATTGTCACATCTGATTAACTGCATATTACCCACTTCAAAGGGCTGATCCACCAACATAAGACAATTGTCACATCTGATTAACCGCATATTACCCACTTCAAAGGGCTGATCCACCAACATAAGACAATTGTCACATCTGATTAACGGCATATTACCCACTTCAAAGGGCTGATCCACCAACATAAGACAATTGTCACATCTGATTAACTGCATATTACCCACTTCAAAGGGCTGATCCACCAACATAAGACAATTGTCACCTCTGATTAACCACATATTACCCACTTCAAAGGGCTGATCCACCAACATAAGACAATTGTGACATCTGATTAACTGCATATTACCCACTTCAAAGGGCTGATCCACCAACATAAGACAATTGTCACATCTGATTAACCGCATATTACCCACTTCAAAGGGCTGATCCACCAACATAAGACAATTGTCACCTCTGATTAACCACATATTACCCACTTCAAAGGGCAGATCCACCAACATATGACAATTGCCACATCTGGTTAGCCACAAATTACCCTCTTAAAGGATTACGTCAAGTTTCCCGGACAAAAACAATATGGCGAGTCAGCTGGATCAGTCCATTTTTAAGAAATAGGGGAGTTTTGTAAATTCTAGTTCATTGAAATCGTCTTGTAGATAAAATGATATTCTACAATGTTTCTGTCAACAAGAGAGTGAATTATCCAAAGGATGCATGTACATCAGCCCACATAAATCCTTGTATTCATTCAAACTGCTTTGCTTCATTTGTAGGACATTTTATAAGCCATGTTGTGTTCTAATACGTGATGGGGTTTAGATGTCAAATTCTCCTATTACTCACAAATCGAAGGTCCTAAACTTCCCCAATAAAATGTGAAATTGATTTGTCAAAACGAAAATCTCTATTTTATAAATCTACGACGATCTATTCTATACTATTGCTACAAAAACAGGCAGAGGTGTTTACACCACGACCTCAAACCTGGTATACCCTTGAGTTTTATCCCGGATCGTGCCTTTTATACTAAACGGTGAGCAACACCAAAAACGGGCGTTCGATTTGCTAAACGATATGCGTCAACCTTTAAAGGGCTAGATGGATGCCACTGATGTAAGCACAGTTAAAGACCCAAAGTAAGCTGCTGATCACATTATTTCGTGTTTAAATGTCACTCTTCTTAAGCTGTCCAGTCGCAGTGAAAAGCTATTATATCAAAATCCACATTATAGCTTTCGCAGGAAGTAAATCTACCTGATTTGAGAGAGTTCAAACAATTGATGGATATTAAATCAATCTTAAGTATACATGTATTGAATTGTGGTTTTAAATCGCAGACAGACACCTGGACAGTCACCTATGATCCCATAGGCTCACAGTATGAGTCAAAACTAACACAAGGCTATTACTTGTGAAGCCACATAACCTGTGTGTGTTTGAAGTTCTACTGGTACATCTTCCCCACTGGCGTCACTGTCCGATATATCACCATACGAGGATACCAGAGAGCTAAGAGCACTGGGCAATGTGCTGTTAGAGTCATTTATAGGGCTTGATTTAGTCTCTGATTTAGTATCTGAAACAGAATGAGCAAAGTAAAGAGACGAGGTTATGTCAAATGGTGAGCACCATTCAAAGGGCTGCTTGAGGCTCTCACACTGGGAGGGTCAGGAGTTTGACACAGTTTTAATCAAGAAGGTGGGATTATGACAGAGTATTATTGCTCCCCAGGGTGGTAAAATTGACTCCTTAAATAACTTCCTGGGTAGGGAATTTGACAGCCCAATTTGTATTTTATCGAAATCCTCTTCCCACAAAAAATGTTTCAACCTCTTACTCAAAGCTCAAAGTTTGTATCAAACATTAGCTCATAGATCGTATTAACATTAGCTTAAAGATTGTATTGAACATTAACTCAAAGATTGTAGTGAACACTAGCTCAAAGATTGAAATAACATTAGCTTAAAGGTTGTGTTGAACATTAATTCAAAGATTGTAGTGAACACTAGCTCAAAGATTGAAATAACATTAGCTTAAAGGTTGTGTTGAACATTAATTCAAAGATTGTATTAAACAGAATCTCAAAGGTTGTACTAACATTAGCTCAAAGTTTGTATTAACATTAGCTAAAAGAATTGTATTAATATTAACTCAAAGATTGTATTAAAATTAGCTCAAAGATTGTATTGAACATTAGCAAAAAGAATTGTATTAATATTAACTCAAAGATTGTTTCAACATCAACTCAAAGATTGGATTAATATTAACTCAAATATTGTATTAATATTAGCTCAAAGTTTGTATTATATTAGCTCAAAGATTGTATTGAACATTAGCTAAAAGAATTGTATTGAACATTTACTAAAAGATTGTACTTACATTAGCCTAAAGGTTGTATTGAACATTAGTTCAAAGGTTGTATTAACATTAACTCAAAGATTGTATTTACATTAACTCAAAGATTGTATTAATATTAACCCAAATATTGTATTAATATTAAGTAAAAGATTGTATTAAAATTAGCTCAAAGATTGTATTGAACATTAACTAAAAGAATTGTATTAATATTAACTCAAAGATTGTATTAATATTAACTTAAAAATTGTATTAGTATTAACTCAAATATTGTATTAATATTAACTCAAAAATTGTATCAACATTAACTCAATGATTGGATCAATATTAACTCAAATATTGTATTAATACTAACCCAAAGATTGTATTACCATTAACTCAAAGATTGTATCAACATTAACTCAAAGATTGTATCAACATTAACTCAAAGATTGTATCAACATTAACTCAAAGATTGTATCAACATCAACTCAAAGATTGTACTGAACATAAAGCTCTTCTTTATAGAAGCAAAATCAAACAAACTAATATGTAAAGATTTAGTATTCAAATGTTACATAAAATATCAATCAAAAATGGGAACAGGTAGTATATATGTTACCTGTTTTTTCATTGTCTAGGATGTATGCCATTGGGTCTAGTTTGGGATCCTTGGCAACCACAGCATCCTACAATAAACATTAATATTCTTTAAATGCAGAAACCTTCAAGTTATATTATATTTGGCGAAATCTGCAAGATACGATCGTATCTTAAAAGTAATAGATGTACATCCCTGTTAAATTGCACAATGTATTTACTGTAATTGTAATGCTGGCTAACCTGAAATAAAAATTGATCAAACAAAAAATATAACTATTTGCATGGTCATGTTCACTCCTTTGCTGCTCAAAAAGCTATTTCTTGACATTCATGTAAATGATGAAAAAGACAAGTTGCATGTTGCAAGTTAAGTCCAACATTTTACGATTTAACATTTTACATGATTAGGTCTTTAAAGTCCACTTGCGCACAGCCCAGGTTCCTCTAAATTTACAATTACGCCTAAAATAAAAATAAAATACAGAAACTGTTCATGTTTTTCTTATTTCAAGTAAATTGGGTTTCTGGTAGGCACGATCTGTTTTCAAATATCAAAAAAAAGTGCAACAGTCACTTGTTTCAATGTTCAGGAGATCTTAAGCATGTCTGTACAGAGTTGCGAAAACATTTTCAAATCAAAATTCTTTCACCTTTCTCCCTAACCAAATGCTTTTTCAATGACCAAAGAACATGGCTTTTGTAGTTTTCATTGAGAATTTCTTCTTAACTTAGAAGTTTAATTTGTGGTACAATTTTAACTTTTCAAACTTTTATTCTCTTAACTTCCCCGAAGTTTTTTAACTGTTTAAGCAATATTTGAGGAAATTCAAAAATTTCTAGCTGCATTTTCCATTGCAACCCTCTTATATGAGACTACAGACAGTGAACGTACCTGATGATCATCAGGGGCAGGTCTTTTCCTAGAGTCATCTCCTGGTTTATATTGATTGCTATGGTGACTAGGTCTATCGTGACCACGGCCCCTACCTCTACCTCGATCTCTTCCACGACCTTGACCTCCACGAGGATGCTTGTGGTGACCTCCTCTCATCTGACTGAAAAAACACAGTGACAAATAATTTTTTATTGAAAAATTCCAAATGGGCACCAAGTAATTTACCCAGCATATCCAAACCCTAATCAGATCTTGGAACTGAGTCTGCTTTTGCATCTATGAACATTTCAAGAGGAACAGGCAAGCAGTTTTCCAGGAATTTTGATGAAAAAATTATGAATTTTCACCAAGATAAAATGATACATTGCATTACTATAATACTCACCCAAAGTATTGTTCTTGAATGACCTCTCCTCTCTCAACCTTCTCAGCTAATATTTGCTTTTTCTTCTCAATGGTAGCCTTCGTTGGAAAATTTCTACAAAAGACGGATGTTTCCATGATTCACGTAGAGTACATACAATATTCATACAATTTTGAAATGTCAACCTCATATCCTGAAGTCTGGTAACTATTGGAAGACATTGAGATGTCAAGAGCACCTCTCATTCAATCCCCAAAAACAAATATTAACATGATTTCTCTCAAAAACAGAAACAATTAATTGAACAACATTAGGTTCAAAATCTAGTCTTCTCTTTAAAGTCTATTCTAAATAAAATTCTAGTAACTATGGTTACATACTTTTTTCTTTCATTTATCCACTTTTGCAGATCTTCTTTTGATTCTGTTTCCCAGATCTTCTTGGCCATCCCTGTCCTATGTTGCTGCAATGTTAGAAAATAATTCAGTTAAGGAGGCTAGAGTGCAAACAAGGTCAATTAGCCATATTATTCATTCAACTAGGCCTACCTAAATTATTCATTCTACTTAGCCTTCCTTAAGAGAGAAATAATTCATTGTAGCTGACCTACAAGTAAACCAACTCACCAAGTCATAATGCATTTTAACCAGTTTTGGGGCTGCTATGTATCTACATCCTTCAACTCGACACTGCAAGTAAAAACAATTAAGTCATCAGTTATGAATGAAATAACAATCAATATGTCATCAATGATGGAAAAACAGCAATCGTTTCATCAGGATCAGACATCCTTTAGACATTTTTTCACTGAAACTGTTGAAACCCAAAACGTTGTAGTAGTACTATATCTCCTATAGCCAAAATTTGCCTCCCATATTTTCATTTGATTGGCCAGATTTTGATCCTGTCTACACAACTGCCTTAACAGCCCACTGTGTTTATTATATGTACATGTTCATGACTATCAGTATATACCACTGCCTTAACAGCCCACTGTGTTTATTATATGTACCTGTTCATGACTATCAGTATATACCACTGCCTTAATAGCCCACTGTGTTTATTATATGTACCTGTTCATGACTATCAGTATATACCACTGCCTTAACAGCCCACTGTGTATATTATATGTACATGTACCTGTTCATGACTATCAGTATATACCACTGCCTTAACAGCCCACTGTGTTTATTAAATGTACATGTACCTGTTCATGACTATCAGTATATACCACTGCCTTAATAGCCCATTGTGTTTATTATATGTACCTGTTCATGGCTATCAGTATATACCACTGCCTTAATAGCCCACTGTGTTAATTATATGTACCTGCTCATGACTGTCAGTATACACCACTGCCTTAATAGCCCATTGTGTTTATTATATGTACCTGCTCATGACTGTCAGTATACACCACTGCCTTAATAGTCCACTGTGTTTATTATATGTACCTGTTCATGACTATCAGTATATACCACTGTCTTAATAGCCCACTGTGTTTATTATATGTACCTGTTCATGACTATCAGTATATACCACTGCCTTAATAGCCCACTGTGTTTATTATATGTACCTGTTCATGACTATCAGTATACACCACTGCCTTAATAGCCCACTGTGTTTATTATATGTACCTGTTCATGACTATCAGTATATACCACTGCCTTAATAGCCCACTGTGTTTATTATATGTACCTGTTCATGACTATCAGTATACACCACTGCCTTAATAGCCCACTGTGTTTATTATATGTACCTGTTCATGACTATCAGTATATACCACTGTCTTAATAGCCCACTGTGTTTATTATATGTACCTGCTCATGACTATCAGTATACACCACTTCCTTAATAGCCCACTGTGTTTATTATATGTACCTGTTCATGACTATCAGTATATACCACTGTCTTAATAGCCCACTGTGTTTATTATATGTACCTGCTCATGACTATCAGTATACACCACTTCCTTAATAGCCCATTGTGTTTATTATATGTACCTGCTCATGACTGTCAGTATACACCACTGCCTTAATAGCCCACTGTGTTTATTATATGTACCTGTTCATGACTATCAGTATATACCACTGTCTTAATAGCCCACTGTGTTTATTATATGTACCTGTTCATGACTATCAGTATATACCACTGCCTTAATAGCCCACTGTGTTTATTATATGTACCTGTTCATGACTATCAGTATACACCACTGCCTTAATAGCCCACTGTGTTTATTATATGTACCTGTTCATGACTATCAGTATATACCACTGCCTTAATAGCCCACTGTGTTTATTATATGTACCTGTTCATGACTATCAGTATACACCACTGCCTTAATAGCCCACTGTGTTTATTATATGTACCTGTTCATGACTATCAGTATATACCACTGTCTTAATAGCCCACTGTGTTTATTATATGTACCTGCTCATGACTATCAGTATACACCACTTCCTTAATAGCCCACTGTGTTTATTATATGTACCTGTTCATGACTATCAGTATATACCACTGTCTTAATAGCCCACTGTGTTTATTATATGTACCTGCTCATGACTATCAGTATACACCACTTCCTTAATAGCCCATTGTGTTTATTATATGTACCTGTTCATGACTGTCAGTATGTTCCTTGAACTTGCTTTCCTCCTTATAGCCTCTGTCACATGTGTCACAATAGAAATTGTTATTCTCTGCCTTGTCTCTCTTGTTGACTTTGTCATTCTTGCCAGACCCCTGGATAGCACATAACATGTACTTAATACACATTTATATTCATTGTACCACAATAGAAATTGTTATTTACAGCCTTATTGATAGCCTACCTGATAAGGCTACCTTATTGACCTTGTCCTTATTTCTTGACCCCTGGAATCATACATGATGGAGACGCACATGTACATAATATTATACATTCATACTATTCATTGTTGAATTAAAATATGATCATTTATAAGTCTTGGGTTTTCAAGAAAGCTTGATGATAAGTGTTTAGGAAATATCACACATTATATGCAAGATTTATTGTATATAGAGTGACTAAATCAAAGATGACGTGTAAAAAACATGCGTATGGTAGCCATTTCCATTATATGAATATTATATGTGTTTGGAAATCCCGGAAATTAGAAAAACATAAGATCCTCTAGTCAAATGAGATGTTGCATAAGTGAGAAAAGTACCTGTTTCGGCCTATTAAAGCGATTACCCCCCTGTTGATTTGGATTATGCAGATGTCCATTTGGAGGAAACTGTCCTGTCTGATGTTGATTTCCTGTAGCTGGTCCTCTTGGACCTTGATTACGTGGGCCTCTTGATCTGTGACCTTGAGGTCCTCTGTTGTTATAGTTGGGTGGACCTCTAGGAGGCGGGTAACCTCTTGGTGGACCATTCCAGTGTGGACTTCCATATCGAGGTCCCATCCCTGGAGGTATCATTCCCGGGTGACCCATGCCTGGTGGAGTCATTGGTGGTCCGAATGGACGTGGTTGCATCATGAAACCAGGCGGTCCTGGCTGCCGTGGAGGAAACGGAGGGGGGAAGCGATATGGACTTGGTGGATTCGAATTTGAAGTCGGTCCATTTTGAGTGTCGTTACCTTTATTTGGATCGGTACCAATACTGTGCATCGGCGTACTGCCACTTTCTTCTACCTTTATATTACATTCCATGACTGTATAACGGCAGAAAAGTCATAAAATATAAATGTTTAGAAAAGTTTTGAAAACACATGGAATTAAGGTCATGGGTCAAGGTCATTCACTTATTTTGCTAATTAATAAAATTACGGTTAATCTGGATAATTATTACTAGAAACACAATTACATATTAAATAAATAAATTGATAAACTTAACTAGCATACGTATATGTTAAATGATAGATGAATAAAGTCTATTTATGTTTGAATTAATACACCGGAACTTCTTCAGTCCGTAGACATTGTTGCTGCTGTAAACATAAATTTTAGGAATTTTAAAATGCCAGGTACGTTATTTATTCATATTTCTCTCTATGTATAATAGTTGTTATGGAACTATGTATATTTACATTAAATATATCCATATAATAAGACAAAACTAAATTAGTATGGTCTAAACAAGAGTAAACGTGAAAATTTATGTGAACTGTTTTCAAAATTTAGTGTGAAGACTCAGCTCAGTGATTGATAGTCTAGCCTAGATAACATCACGTAGACTAGTCTACTTTACTGATGACTGATAGAATAGAGATGATCCTATTTGAAAACTGACTTACAATACTTACTTGCTCTTAGTAGTAGGGGAGATCAGTTGAACTTCGACGTATGGGGTTACTTCATCATGGGGCTATTTCGACCATGGGGTTATTTTGACATTGACTTATATTTCCCATCCAAGGAGTCCGTCATGTTTGTTTTTGAAAGGTTTTATAAATAACTTGATAACTCCAATAGTCGAAATCTTAATTCAAGATGTCTGACCCCTGGAAATATGAATTATCGGCAATTGTCGAAATAACCCCATGGTCGAAGTAGCCCAATGACAAAGTAACCCCATACGTCAAAGTTCAACGGATCTCCGCTATTGTATGAAACTAATGATCCATGTCAATTTGCTAATATTTTATTCATCTCATCTTCATGTCTGTTTTATTTTTTATTTTCTGAGGTTGCTTTGTAAGGAACACCTAATGTGAGACCTGATACTCGTTTTCTATTGTTCCTTGCAAATACTTGTACATTATCTCGAGTAGTTGTTTTTTTATTTTCACAATATTTTCACAGGCTGGTATCGAAAGATTTGTCCGCTGTGACGGAGCATGCTATTTTTCATGAAAACACTAAGAATGCTTCATGATTTATTTTTTAACTCATATGTTTAGTTATATCAAAGATAATTATTTACTCCATGCAATGGATATATCATTTGCGTGTAACCTTCACTTCTGTTTGAAGTCCAATAACGCTAGGAGTAAAATCTATTGAAAACTGCGCCAGAGTATCAAACTCTAAAATGTACCATTTCTTTTTTAACTTTTTAATGGCATGATATAGTGACACGATAATATTAACATATGTTTTAAGCATAACTCTGAATGTATTCATGAGATATTAATGCATTGGGTCTTTTTAATTTTTTTATAAAAAATATTATTAATATTTTTTGTCCGCTGTGACGGAGCATTTTCACAGTTCACATTTGCAACTGCTCCGTCACAGCGGACAAAAAAATTAAGCAATATTTTTTATAAAAAAATTAAAAAGACTAAATACACCAACATCTCATTTATACCTTCAAAGTTATGCTGAAACCATGTGTAAATATTATCGTGTCACTATATCGTGCCATTAGAAAGTTAAACAAGAAATGGTACATTTTGAAGTATGATACTCCGGTGCCATTTTCAATAGCTTTTCTAGCCAGCGTAATTGGACTTCAAACAGAAGTGAAAGTTACCCGCAAATGATATATCCATCGCCTGGAGTAAGTAATTTTGTATGGTATAACGAAACATATGAGTTAAAAAATAAATCGTGAAGTATTCTTAGTGTTTTTATGAAAAATAACATGCTCCGTCACAGCGGACAAATATTTCGATACCAACCAGCCTGTGATTTTGACAAAAAATTTCATGCAAAAATGCCGCAATAAAATGCAGAATTTTTGCAGAATTTCACATTTTGGCTTGCAGAATTTTGAATTTTGCAGCGCAGAATTCTACATGTAGTAGACCTGAATAGTGCTTGCGCTGATGTTAATTGTATAAAAATGAATGACTCAAAATAAATATTGATACGATATCTCAACTCTAGTATAAGTGTATAATGCAAATATTTCAGTGAGAAAGTTTGGTACGATACACGAAGCAGTCCGACATGGCGATGTTGAAGAAATGGAAGGAATGGTAAAAGATGGTGCAAGTATCAATGAAATAGATGATGGTCATAAATTTACACCATTACATTGGGCTTGTCAAGTTGGTGCAATAGAGGTAGGTATCATAGGGGTGAAGGGGGGGGGGGGGCACATACAATTTGATAACTAGAAATAGAAAAAGGGAAAATCTGGCCCTTTAAAATGAATGGAATATGTAGTGGGGATTTATATACATGTATTTGAAAATAGAATTTGGATTTTTAAAATTTAAATTTAGAATTTGGAATATTGAGACCAAGATTAGTTTCTGTAAACACTGAGATATGAAACATCTTATTTGTAGTGTTTACACTGGTTGCTATGGCATGGTGCAGACAGTACAGTGGCGACTCCTAGGGGCTGGACCCCCGCACATATAGCTGCCATAAGAGGTCAGGATGCGTGCATGCAGGTAGGTAGTGCAATGTAATTGTCACTTTTTGATAACTGTCACTCTTTGAGATTTGGTGCAGCAGAATCAGTAAAATAGAATTATTTTGTCAAACGTCTTTTGTGAAATGTACAAAAATATGCCCTTCTATTTGAATTTTAAAGATATGCTATACAGATATGTAGGTCAGTATTACATAATCGTGAAATGAATAAGTCTGAATATATCATTGGTCAGAAAACACTAAAACCTGCTTGAAACTGTAAAAGTTTATACACTCTATTCCACACTGTATAGAAATAAAATAACTTACACTATAAGTAACTGTGAGCCAATCATTGCATAGAAAAAACTTTATGCACTGTTTATAAGATTCACTGAGACAAGTGGGTCAATACTTCGTGTACTTTATGTGCTCTCACACAATTACCTTCCCTTGCATAAAGTTGCTGTACAGTTATATGTAACTGAATATTGTATATTCATCACAAACAACCTTAGCAAAATGATGGTTCGACGAAACGGACGGTTCGCTAAAACCAATAAACCAGGCAATTCAGGCCAATTTGGAAAGAAACAAGATAGCGTGATAGCGAATGAGGATAGTAAGTGAAATATATTTTGCAAAGGTCAGCTTGTAAACTACTGGGTAACCCTAAATGATGAGAAATATGTACAAAATATGTTTTGCATGATTTATTCATATCCCAATGATTTAACTCCTTCACTGCATCTAATAAGGTATATAGATACTAATTACGGGACATTTAGGAATTAAGTGACTAGACCAAAGCAAGTATGTTTGAGATTTTAATGATTTTAAATAAATTACCACTTCATTATTTGCTTTTAGACATTCAATCAATTTTATTTGTCCAACAAACCATATTCACAATTGTTCAATCCAACGAAGATTAGGGGATAAGCTATGATACCCCTCCATTTGTCCGTCCATCCATCCTTCAACTAGACAACAGCAACACCAAAGTGTAGCAAATCCCATCGAACAGCCATGGCTGGCATTTTTTTTACAAACAAAGTATACAGCAAAAATGGCAGCCATCGCATCAAATATGAACAAAATCGCTCTACTACTTTTCGAGTTATAGTAAAATACGTTAAAATGACGGCCATTTTTCAAAATGGCTGCCTTCTACCAAAAGTGTCATTAGACAGTGTGCCATGCTTATAGTATTCATATACCAAATATGAACAAAATCGCTCGACTACTTTTCGAGTTACAGCAAAAATCGTAAAATAACGAGTAAAGGCCGCCATAGTTCAATTCTTTGAAGCAAATGATTCTAAAAGTACAACATATCTTTGAAAAAATATCATTCTGTTAAGTGAAATTGTAAAAAATATTTTGCAATGTGTGAAATTGAATTAAAGCACATGATTCAATGAATAGTGGATGCTTCAATTCACTTATGTCTTCTAGTCTAGGCTTTGAATTTGGACTACCACCCTCGTTCATAGTCTAGAATCAGGACATATGTTAAATTTAATCATCTGCAATGCATTGAGTCATTGGCTTAAATCCTATAATATAATATGCCTATCAATATAATATGTAATTATTTAAGTATCATCTCAATGCTTTAATTTTAATAGAATTATTTTAATATTTTACTAACTGTATAATATGTAGTTTGCATTACTGTTGATAAATAAATAAATGATTGCACTGTTCAGTAAAGAAATATAGCAATTGTATTATTTAAACTGACTATACACTATAGAAATGATTTTCATTGAAAATCAAATCAGTACCAAAATTATGGTTACCCTGTAGTAGTGAAAGGCACATTAGAAATGAATATCACCCCCTTCAATCTATTTTTACAGGTTTTTATGATTATTTCAGATTTTTCTATAGTTGGCGTAACCAGGACGGTGAATTTTCTTCATTTTTCATCAAACATTTCGTCTTACCAATATTTATTATATCTGTCAATTTTATCAAAATCGCGCCGCTACGTTTGAAAATAATTCAAATTATGTAGTTTTTCCCATTGAGCTCCATTATAAAAATGGAATTTTCAAACTTAATATTTTAAAATTCTACGTGGTGAAAAGTTGCATATTGAGTAGTTAGTTAATGTTATGGTGTTAAAAATTCAAAACAAAAAGGAATAAAGAAAAAATGCCACAGAGCAGTCTCAATAGAGTATCTTTAAGTCTTAGATTAAAGTTTCTTTTAGCTCTTAAAAAGTGCGAAAATTATTAAATCATGAACAAGAAATTGCTTGATTTCTCCATGGGCTTTCAACTAGTTGAAAGCCCATGATTTCTCTGTCTTCATTTTATAATGAAACAATGTAACATTTTCAGTTACCTCCTACCCACAGACATTTCCACTATTTTGTAGATTCTAAGACATATAGTGTTATTATTTATAACTCAAGATGATTATTTATAGAAATATACATCTTTATTGATCACTCATTAAGAATCCAACTTTATCTATTACATCCAGGCAATTAGGCCCCAATAAGGCTGGTAGCATAAAACCTTTGACATGACATGCATTACTATGGAAATACATTACACTACAAGACACACTATCACAATTCATTTTCTTGCAGGCTTTAGGTAACAATGGTTCCAATCTCTCAGCTCAGGATGCCAGGGGAAGCACCCCAGCCCATCTAGCAGCTGCTCATGGCAACTCATTTACACTACATACAATACTGAGAGCAGGCACTGTAAGTTCTATTTTAATGGAATGCCAAAAATTCTTTCAAAATCACGCAGTTTTCACCATTTTGAGCATTTCTCAAGTGATTTTAGCCATATTTGGGCCAAAATTGTCAAACTGCACACAATACTAAGAGCAGGCACTGTAAGTTATATTTTAATACAATTTGAATTATTCTGAAATAAAGCAAATCGTCAAATTAAATGCCACGGAAAAATGTCAGCTTTCCATCATTTGGGAAGCAATACACTTGACATGTGACATGTTTTCCTTACAAGATGCGACAAAATAGACTGGGGAATAGTTATTTTAACAATGGGAGCCATATATAACAATGGACCAACAGATACCCAATAAAGTTGCCATTCCAGTTGATTTTAAACAATAAGTTTGACATTCTGAGTATCAAGAAAGAAATAATAAGATAAATGAGTTTTAGAAAATTTGTTATTTTAGCTTTTTCCCCCTCTTCTGTGATCTTCATACAAAAGGTTTATTATCCAAGGTAAAGTGGCTGTTGTCAGGATAGCATGTATATGTTTAAAACGATAATGTTTGTTTATTCTGTTGCTAGGAGGTGAACTCTCCAGACAGGAATGGTTGGAATCCTGTCCATAGTGCTTGTTACCATGGTAGACTGGGTTGCTAATATTGTTTGTTTATTCTGTTGCCAGGAGGTGAACTCTACAGACAGGAATGGTTGGAACCCTGCACATAGTGCTTGTTACCATGGTAGACTGGGTTTTTAATATTGTTTGTTTATTCTGTTGCCAGGAGGTGAACTCTACAGACAGGAATGGTTGGAACCCTGCCCATAGTGCTTGTTACCATGGTAGACTGGGGTGTTTACAGCTGCTGATGAGGTGGGGGGCTAATGTAGAGGATGTGGACAACAATGGAAACACAGCAGGTAATGGGAGCACTTTGTGTAGTGGGAAATAAGATACACAACTGGTGCAACTGGAACAAAAATAGGTTTAAGTTAACAGAAAAAGTAAATATCTGTATACCTATTTTTGGGCCACCCAGTAAGCTCCAGTTTCAGTGATAAGAAATTTGACTGGATACTGGTATTGAAATGAAATTAAATTGGAGAAAAAGAAAATACTCATCTTGCTGAATGTAAAATGGACACTCAGAGAATATGTATGCTATTAATTGTGCATGCAGATCCTTGGGGGTTGTTCTAGAATTCATGGGGGTAAAACAACAAAACATTAGTGTTACGTTGGCAAAAGCTTATGTAATTTTGAGGTTCAGTTGCATCTTAGTGCATCTTTGTGGAGAATCTATATTTTTCTTCCTTTATCACCCTTACGGGTGTATGGTTGACCATATACAAATGATAATGTTCCTTTCAGCCCATTTAGCTGCGATGGAGGGCCACTTAGCATGCCTCAAGTTTCTAGTTGCCCAGGGGCAGTCTCCAACTCATGTCCTTGGGGCAAGAAATGACCAGGGGGAAACCCCTAAAGTTCTAGCTCAACAGTTCTATAAGGAGAATGTTGTAGACTACATCAGTGGCATAGAATGGGAGCGAGACCACCCTGAAGATGAAGAAAGTAAGTAGACTAAATTAGTCAGACATACTCATATATCATTGTATATTCCCCTCTATATTGTACTCATATATCATTGTATATTCCCCTCTATATTGTACTCATATATCATTGTATATTCCCCTCTATATTGTACTCATATATCATTGTATATTCCCCTCTATATTGTACTCATATATCATTGTATATTCCCTCTATATTGTGCTCATTGTATATTCCCTTCTATATTGTGCTCATTGATTAAAGGGAAGCAAATGAGGGAACAACCAAAAATTGTTGTAGAAATTAGTTCTGGGCCTCATTTGAAAATATGGGCCCATTTTCAAAAATTTGGCCACAAAAAATTAGAGCCACTTTTTCTCCTTGATATTACGGTTATTAACATTTTTTGTTAAATGTTAGCCAGCCGTAAAGTAAAATCTTAACACTTTGGGGTGTTTCATTGTTTTTTTGAAATTCAATGACATCATAAAAAATTAAAGTTAAATAATAACAGGTCTAATTCATGATAACTTGATCAAAGTGATCAACGAAATAATGCATGTCCTATTGGCTTATCTGTTTTTTTCAGATCTTGCATTCCCAGCACACGTTGCCTCATACAATGGTGACCTTGAACACCTGAGAATGTTGGTGGAGAATGGAGTTGTCAACATCAATGAGAGAGATGATAAGGGAGCTACACCTATGCATAAAGGTAATTTGTGGTATTATAAGGCTGTACTTAAAAAATGAGACATTCTCTGTGCTAAATGTTGGACACTCTCTCTCTCTCTCTTAAATATGAAAATAAAAATAAATGGCATATTGCCACAAGTCTCACTTCAATAGTCAGGTTGAGCTTAGTGTGTTTAGAGAACTTGTACTCTAATATGGTCCTATTGTAGAATTTAGTTATTTAATTGAGTGTAAAGGTATTTGTATAAGGAAAAGAGTTGAAATTAGGTCTCTGGAAATTACCAAGAACTTTAACTTTGATTTACTTGCATTTTATTGTTAAAATTTCTACCAAATTTATTGAGACTTGAACATTACCCTTCATTGAATGTGGGACGTTCTCTATGTTTTAGCTGCAGGTCAAGGTCACATACACATCTTGCAATGGATGATAGAACTTGGTGCTAACGCAGATGTACGAAACCAAGCAGGAGAAACACCTAGAGATGAACATTACTTTTGTTGAACATTACTCTTTGTTAAATGTGGGACGTTCTCTATGTTTTAGCTGCAGGTCAAGGTCACATTCACATCTTGCAATGGATGATAGAACTTGGTGCTAACGCAGATGTACGGAACCAAGCAGGAGAAACACCTAGAGATGAACATTACTTTTGTTGAACATTACTCTTTGTTAAATGTGGGACGTTCTCTATGTTTTAGCTGCAGGTCAAGGTCACATTCACATCTTGCAATGGATGATTGAACTTGGTGCTAACGCAGATGTACGAAACCAAGCAGGAGAGACACCTAGAGATGAACATTACTTTTGTTGAACATTTCTCTTTGTTAAATGTGGGACGTTCTCTATGTTTTAGCTGCAGGTCAAGGTCACATTCACATCTTGCAATGGATGATAGAACTTGGTGCTAATGCAGATGTACGGAACCAAGCAGGAGAAACACCTAGAGATGAACATTACTTTTGTTGAACATTACTCTTTGTTAAATGTGGGGCGTTCTCTATGTTTTAGCTGCAGGTCAAGGTCACATACACATCTTGCAATGGATGATAGAACTTGTTGCTAATGCAGATGTACGGAACCAAGCAGGAGAGACACCTAGAGATGAACATTACTTTTGTTTAACATTACTCTTCTTGAATGTGGGACGTTCTCTATGTTTTAGCTGCAGGCCAGGGTCACATTCACATATTGCAATGGATGATAGAACTTGGTGCTAATGCAGATGTACGGAACCAAGCAGGAGAGACACCTAGAGATGAACATTACTTTTGTTTAACATTACTCTTCTTGAATGTGGGACGTTCTCTATGTTTTAGCTGCAGGCCAGGGTCACATTCACATATTGCAATGGATGATAGAACTTGGTGCTAATGCAGATGTACGGAACCAAGCAGGAGAGACACCTAGAGATGAACATTACTTTTGTTTAACATTACTCTTCTTGAATGTGGGATGTTCTCTATGTTTTAGCTGCAGGCCAGGGTCACATTCACATATTGCAATGGATGATAGAACTTGTTGCTAATGCAGATGTACGGAACCAAGCAGGAGAGACACCTAGAGATGAACATTACTTTTGTTTAACATTACTCTTCTTGAATGTGGGACGTTCTCTATGTTTTAGCTGCAGGTCAAGGTCACATTCACATCTTGCAATGGATGATAGAACTTGTTGCTAATGCAGATGTACGGAACCAAGCAGGAGAAACACCTAGAGATGAACATTACTTTTGTTTAACATTACTCTTCTTGAATGTGGGATGTTCTCTATGTTTTAGCTGCAGGCCAGGGTCACATTCACATCTTGCAATGGATGATAGAACTTGGTGCTAATGCAGATGTACGGAACCAAGCAGGAGAAACACCTAGAGATGAACATTACTTTTGTTGAACATTACCCTTCATTGAATGTGGGACGTTCTCTATGTTTTAGCTGCAGGCCAGGGTCACATTCACATCTTGCAATGGATGATAATACTTGGTGCTAACGCAGATGTACGAAACCAAGCAGGAGAAACACCTAGAGATGAACATTACTTTTGTTTAACATTACTCTTCTTGAATGTGGGACGTTCTCTATGTTTTAGCTGCAGGTCAAGGTCACATTCACATCTTGCAATGGATGATAGAACTTGGTGCTAACGCAGATGTACGGAACCAAGCAGGAGAAACACCTAGAGATGAACATTACTTTTGTTGAACATTACCCTTCATTGAATGTGGGACGTTCTCTATGTTTTAGCTGCAGGCCAGGGTCACATTCACATCTTGCAATGGATGATAGAACTTGGTGCTAACGCAGATGTACGAAACCAAGCAGGAGAAACACCTAGAGATGAACATTACTTTTGTTTAACATTACTCTTCTTGAATGTGGGACGTTCTCTATGTTTTAGCTGCAGGTCAAGGTCACATTCACATCTTGCAATGGATGATAGAACTTGGTGCTAACGCAGATGTACGAAACCAAGCAGGAGAAACACCTAGAGATGAACATTACTTTTGTTTAACATTACTCTTCTTGAATGTGGGACGTTCTCTATGTTTTAGCTGCAGGCCAGGGTCACATTCACATATTGCAATGGATGATAGAACTTGGTGCTAATGCAGATGTACGGAACCAAGCAGGAGAGACACCTAGAGATGAACATTACTTTTGTTTAACATTACTCTTCTTGAATGTGGGACGTTCTCTATGTTTTAGCTGAAGGCCAGGGTCACATTCACATATTGCAATGGATGATAGAACTTGGTGCTAATGCAGATGTACGGAACCAAGCAGGAGAGACACCTAGAGATGAACATTACTTTTGTTTAACATTACTCTTCTTGAATGTGGGACGTTCTCTATGTTTTAGCTGCAGGCCAGGGTCACATTCACATCTTGCAATGGATGATAGAACTTGGTGCTAACGCAGATGTACGGAACCAAGCAGGAGAGACACCTAGAGATGAACATTACTTTTGTTTAACATTACTCTTCTTGAATGTGGGACGTTCTCTATGTTTTAGCTGCAGGTCAAGGTCACATTCACATCTTGCAATGGATGATTGAACTTGGTGCTAATGCAGATGTACGAAACCAAGCAGGAGAAACACCTAGAGATGAACATTACTTTTGTTGAACATTACTCTTTGTTAAATGTGGGACGTTCTCTATGTTTTAGCTGCAGGCCAAGGTCACATTCACATATTGCAATGGATGATAGAACTTGGTGCTAACGCAGATGTACGAAACCAAGCAGGAGAAACACCTAGAGATGAACATTACTTTTGTTGAACATTACTCTTTGTTAAATGTGGGACGTTCTCTATGTTTTAGCTGCAGGTCAAGGTCACATACACATCTTGCAATGGATGATAGAACTTGTTGCTAATGCAGATGTACGGAACCAAGCAGGAGAAACACCTAGAGATGAACATTACTTTTGTTGAACATTACTCTTTGTTAAATGTGGGACGTTCTCTATGTTTTAGCTGCAGGTCAAGGTCACATTCACATATTGCAATGGATGATAGAACTTGGTGCTAATGCAGATGTACGGAACCAAGCAGGAGAGACACCTAGAGATGAACATTACTTTTGTTTAACATTACTCTTCTTGAATGTGGGACGTTCTCTATGTTTTAGCTGCAGGTCAAGGTCACATTCACATCTTGCAATGGATGATAGAACTTGGTGCTAATGCAGATGTACGGAACCAAGCAGGAGAGACACCTAGAGATGAACATTACTTTTGTTTAACATTACTCTTCTTGAATGTGGGACGTTCTCTATGTTTTAGCTGCAGGTCAAGGTCACATACACATCTTGCAATGGATGATAGAACTTGTTGCTAATGCAGATGTACGGAACCAAGCAGGAGAAACACCTAGAGATGAACATTACTTTTGTTTAACATTACCCTTCATTGAATGTGGGACGTTCTCTATGTTTTAGCTGCAGGCCAGGGTCACATTCACATCTTGCAATGGATGATAGAACTTGGTGCTAACGCAGATGTACGGAACCAAGCAGGAGAGACACCTAGAGATGAACATTACTTTTGTTTAACATTACTCTTCTTGAATGTGGGACGTTCTCTATGTTTTAGCTGCAGGTCAAGGTCACATTCACATCTTGCAATGGATGATAGAACTTGTTGCTAATGCAGATGTACGGAACCAAGCAGGAGAAACACCTAGAGATGAACATTACTTTTGTTTAACATTACTCTTCTTGAATGTGGGACGTTCTCTATGTTTTAGCTGCAGGCCAGGGTCACATTCACATCTTGCAATGGATGATAGAACTTGTTGCTAATGCAGATGTACGGAACCAAGCAGGAGAAACACCTAGAGATGAACATTACTTTTGTTTAACATTACTCTTCTTGAATGTGGGACGTTCTCTATGTTTTAGCTGCAGGCCAGGGTCACATTCACATCTTGCAATGGATGATAGAACTTGTTGCTAATGCAGATGTACGGAACCAAGCAGGAGAGACACCTAGAGATGAACATTACTTTTGTTTAACATTACCCTTCATTGAATGTGGGACGTTCTCTATGTTTTAGCTGCAGGCCAGGGTCACATTCACATCTTGCAATGGATGATAGAACTTGGTGCTAATGCAGATGTACGGAACCAAGCAGGAGAAACACCTAGAGATGAACATTACTTTTGTTGAACATTACCCTTTGTTAAATGTTGGACGTTCTCTTTGTTTTAGCTGCAGGCCAGGGTCACATTCACATCTTGCAATGGATGATAGAACTTGGTGCTAACGCAGATGTACGGAACCAAGCAGGAGAGACACCTAGAGATGAACATTACTTTTGTTGAACATTACTCTTTGTTAAATGTGGGACGTTCTCTATGTTTTAGCTGCAGGCCAGGGTCACATTCACATCTTGCAATGGATGATAGAACTTGGTGCTAACGCAGATGTACGAAACCAAGCAGGAGAGACACCTAGAGATGAACATTACTTTTGTTGTACATTACCCTTCATTGAATGTGGGACGTTCTCTATGTTTTAGCTGCAGGTCAAGGTCACATTCACATCTTGCAATGGATGATAGAACTTGGTGCTAACGCAGATGTACGAAACCAAGCAGGAGAAACACCTAGAGATGTTGCACAGAGGTTTGGACAACTGGCTGCCCTCAAACTTCTGGGTGGCGATGAACAAGGTCAGTCAGCCGGTGTTGCTTTTGGGTTTGTTCCAATGGCAGTCTCTGTAGTTCTGATCATATCACCCATTCGAACATGACTGTATTCAAACTTTCTATAAACTGTGAACAAAGTCGGCATTTCACCCGGGGTATATTCGCGAACAATACACCTGGTAATACGAGTAATGTGTGACGTCATAATAGCGGGCCGTAGTAATGGCGGACCATAATGAATATTCGAAACATTTTGGTGAGTTTTCATGTTCGAATCGGAATATAGACCTCAGAGCAGGTGTAATATCGTCGAATACACCCCTTAGGGCTATATAGGCACAAAGGCTTTCGAACCCCTCACTCTCTTCGGTCGTTCAGGGTACAGAAACCGTTTGTGCCTAGCCCTGCGGGGTGTATTCGACGATATTACCCCTGCTCTTCGGTCTATATTTCTTAAATAAGGTGTTTTATTTTATATGGTTTGATTTGGGCTAACAACATCAATAGACTTTCCACTTATAGGGGTTTATTTAACATTAAGTCAGTTGGTCTTGGGACTTTGAAAAGTGTTCCACTTCTAGAGGTGTTCCACTTTACAGGTTTCACTGTAGTTTAAAATTAGAACTGCAGAGACTGCCCCTTTAATTGCAAATATGTATACTCATTTCAGAGAATCAAAATATGAATAGCACTTTAATATCATCACCATTAATTTCTGAATTTATGCTGAGTTTAATATTTATTTTTCAATTTTAACAATAACCGTGTGTGTGTTTTGTTTATAAAAAGCACTTGTTTATTAATCAAAATTGCATTCTCTATCATCTTTACATTACATGGTAATCATTCTCCTAAGCAGGTGTACACAATCCGTACCTCCTTCTTCCCCCCTGCTATAACCAATTTGGAAGCTTCCGATTAAAATGAGTCACATGATTTATTATGCACCGATGATGTATACATGATTGCTGTCGCACTGTTACGACAGCGAATAAAATTGGAGTTCTTAATCGGGGAAATGCTAACTGCTTATAGCAGGGTGTTAAAAGAAAGAAGTTATTCTGGATTTTGAAGCCCTGTGATCGGAGGATGCATGGTAATAAGTCAGTGTTTGTTAATCATCAACGTGTACTTGCTACCATCAATGAGCCATTTATGACAGGCAAATGCCATGTAAAAGCAATATTACTCGAAATTGCATGAAAATTCTCAACGTAAATCTCTCAGTTCTCGGGTCTAAACTCAAAGCAAATTCTTATTAACATTTTACTTTGTATACATAGCATTTTAGAGTTCCCTTGACCAATTATAATTATCTTTATATCATCTCAAGCTCCTGCTTCCCCACCCTATTGACTTCACTAACACAAGTACATTGTCTAAAACATTATGTAGTGGATTATCTAATAAACTTTGTAGTACATTGTCTAATACACTGTGTAGTACATTTTAATACACTTTGTAGTACATTGTATAATACACTGTATTACATACCTAGCGAAGCATTTGTATGGAAGTCAATGGGAAAGTTAGCGAGCTATATCCACCGATATTGCCCGATTACCCCGATATAGCCCGCTTACCTCGTTTTGATATTAGATTTCTTTAATAACCATGATAATATCATGACGTCACGTCATTGATACAAAGTAACCATGGGAACAAAGGCATGTAATACATCAGTTATGTCACTATGACGTGAAATATGCCTTCGTTCTTGCCCAAATATAGAGCCTCCCAAGGTCGGCCTATATTGGGAGAACTCAGGCATATTTCACGTCATAGTGACATAACCTCTAAGTATAGTACGTTGTATAATACACTGTGTAGTACATTGTTAATACACGGTGTACAGTGTGTAGTACATTGTTTAATACACTGTGTAGTAAAGTATTTAATACACTGTGTAGTACATTGTTTAATACACTGTGTAGTACATTGTCTTATACACTGAATAATACATTGTATAATACATTGTGTTGTACATTGTTAATACACTGTATAGTACATTGTTTAATACACTGTGTAGTACATTGTCTAATACACTGTGTAGTACATTGTTAATACACTGTGTAGTACATTGTTAATACACTATGTACAGTGTGTAGTACATTGTTTAATACACTGTGTAGTAAAGTATTTAATACACTGTATAGTACATTGTTTAATACACTGTGTAGTACATTGTAAATACACTGTCTAATACATTGTCTAATACAATATTTAATACATTGTGTTTGCTCTAACAGAGGATGATGCTGAAGATGCCCCAAGCAATATACTCAAACGACATGGTAAATATATCTCTATTTTATGCCCCAAGTAATATACTCAAACGATATGGTAAATATATCTCTATTTTATGCTCCAAGTAATATACTCAAACGATATGGTAAATATATCGCTATTATATTCCCCAAGCAATATACTCAAACGATATGTTAAATTTATCTCTATTTTATGCTCCAAGTAATATACTCAAACGATATGGTAAATATATCGCTATTATATTCCCCAAGCAATATACTCAAACGATATGTTAAATATATATCTATTATATGCCCCAAGCAATATAATCAAACAATATGGTAAATCTATCTCTATTATATGCTCCAAGTAATATACTCAAACAATATGGTAAATCTATCTCTATTATATGCTCTAAGTAATATAATCAAACAATATGGTAAATCTATCTCTATTATATGCTCCAAGTAATATACTCAAACAATATGGTAAATCTATCTCTATTATATGCCCCAAGCAATATAATCAAACGATATAGTAAATCTATCTCTATTATATGCTCCAAGTAATATACTCAAACAATATGGTAAATCTATCTCTATTATATGCTCTAAGTAATATAATCAAACAATATGGTAAATCTATCTCTATTATATGCCTCAAGCAATATAATCAAACGATATGGTAAATATATCTCTATTATATGCTCCAAGTAATATACTCAAACGATATGGTAAATATATCGCTATTATATGCCCCAAGCAATATTCAAATGATATGATAAATATATCTCTATTATATTCCCCAAGTAATATACTCAAACGATATGGTAAATATATCGCTATTATATGCCCCAAGCAATATTCAAATAATATGATAAATATATCTCTATTATATTCCCCAAGCAATATACTCAAACGATATGATAAATATATCTCTATTATATGCTCCAAGCAATATAATCAAACGATATGGTAAATATATCTCTATTATATGCTCCAAGTAATATACTCAAACGATATGGTAAATATATCTCTATTATATTCCCCAAGCAATATACTCAAATGATATGGTAACTATATCTCAATTATATGCTCCAAGTAATATAATCAAACGATATGGTAAATATATCACTATTATATGCTCCAAGTAATATACTCAAACGATATGGTAAATATATCTCTATTATATGCTCCAAGTAATATACTCAAACAATATGGTAAATATATCGCTATTATATGCCCCAAGCAATATAATCAAACAATATGGTAAATCTATCTCTATTATATGCTCTAAGTAATATAATCAAACAATATGGTAAATATATCTCTATTATATGCCCCAAGCAATATAATCAAACGATATAGTAAATCTATTTCTATTATATGCTCCAAGTAATATAATCAAACAATATGGTAAATATATATCTATTATATGCCCCAAGCAATATAATCAAACAATATGGTAAATCGATCTCTATTATATGCTCTAAGTAATATAATCAAACAATATGGTAAATACATCTCTATTATATGCCCCAAGCAATATAATCAAACAATATAGTAAATCTATCTCTATTATATGCTCCAAGTAATATACTCAAATGATATGGTAAATATATCTCTATTATATGCTCCAAGTAATATACTCAAACGATATGGTAAATATATCGCTATTATATGCCCCAAGCAATATAATCAAATGATATGGTAAATATATCTCTATTATATGCCCCAAGCAATATAATCAAACGATATAGTAAATTTATCTCTATTATATGCTCCAAGTAATATACTCAAACGACATGGTAAATATATATCTATTATATGCCCCAAGCAATATAATCAAACAATATGGTAAATCTATCTCTATTATATGCTCTAAGTAATATAATCAAACAATATGGTAAATCTATCTCTATTATATGCCTCAAGCAATATAATCAAACGATATGGTAAATATATCTCTATTATATGCTCCAAGTAATATACTCAAATGATATGGAAAATATATCTCTATTATATTCCCCAAGCAATATACTCAAATGATATGGAAAATATATCTCTATTATCTATTATATGCCCCAAGCAATATAATCAAATGATATGGAAATATATCTATTATCTATTATATGCCCCAAGCAATATAATCAAACAATATGGTAAATATATCTATATTATATGCCCCAAGTAATATACTCAAACGATATGGTAAATATATCTCTATTATATGCCCCAAGTAATATACTCAAACGATATGGTAAATATATCTCTATTATATGCCCCAAGTAATATACTCAAACGATATGGTAAATATATCTCTATTATATGCCCCAAGCAATATAATCAAACGATATGGTAAATATATCTCTATTATATGCCCCAAGCAATATAATCAAATGATATGGTAAATATATCTCTATTATATGCCCCAAGCAATATAATCAAACGATATAGTAAATCTATCTCTATTATATGCTCCAAGTAATATACTCAAACAATATGGTGGACATAACTATAATCAGACTTTATTCTGCTAACCAGATGTTTAACATTCTAAAGGGCCTTGTGTTTGATTAAAATATTCAGCTAAGATGGACATTCTCTTTACATTATATGATTTACCACCACCAGTGTCATAAAAAACTAAACAGCTAAGATGGACATTCTCTTTAAATTATATGATTTACCACCACCAGCGTTATAAACAATATAAAATTTGACAGGTACTGGAAGAATAAATTAAACACTGACATTAGGAAAAATGATAACGGCAATAAACTACGAACCTACAGAACCCTCAAGAAAGATTTTAAATATGAACATTATTTAAATATAATCGACAGACTTGATATGCGAAGAAACTTTACACGTTTGAGAATAAGTGCTCACAACCTCCAAATTGAGCAAGGGAGATATACAAAACCAAAGAAAACCCCAATTGAAGAAAGACTGTGTGTCCATTGCAATATTATTGATGATGAAGAACATTTTATGATGAAGTGTAAAAAATATCAAAATGAAAGATTATTACTTCAAACTGAATTGTCTGATACGGCAAAAGCACAAACTAATCAATTTATATACCTCTTAACTTGTATAAATCAAGATTGCATCAAGGTTGCAAAATATATTAGTGATGCCTTCCGAATTTTAGAAAGCAATACTTAATTTAGAAAGGCTAATTCCTGCTGCGCAAAAAAGCATTTTGTAGTAATACATATTTTACATTTTACAGTATTAAGCATATATTATATGTAGTATATAGTAGTCTAGTGTTAAATCATATATATTCTTTTTGTGTACTGCACTTTCTTGTACCTGACCCTCAGGGGTGTGAATGTACTCAATAAATATTCTATAAAATACTAAACAGCTAAGATGGACATTCTCTTTAAATTATATGATTTACCACCACCAGCGTTATAAAATACTAAACAGCTAAGATGGAAATTCTCTTTCAATTATATGATTTACCACCACCAGTGTCATAAAATACTAAACAGCTAAGATGGACATTTTCTTTAAATTATATGATTTACCACCACCAGTGTCATAAAATACTAAACAGCTAATATGGACATTCTCTTTCAATTATATGATTTACCACCACCAGTGTCATAAAATACTAAACAGCTAAGATGGACATTTTCTTTAAATTATATGATTTACCACCACCAGTGTCATAAAATACTAAACAGCTAATATGGACATTCTCTTTCAATTATATGATTTACCACCACCAGTGTCATAAAATACTAAACAGCTAAGATGGACATTTTCTTTAAATTATATGATTTACCACCACCAGTGTCATAAAATACTAAACAGCTAATATGGACATTCTCTTTCAATTATATGATTTACCACCACCAGTGTCATAAAATACTAAACAGCTAAGATGGACATTCTCTTTAAATTATATGATTTACCACCACCAGTGTCATAAAATACTAAACAGCTAAGATGGACATTTTCTTTAAATTATATGATTTACCACCACCAGTGTCATAAAATACTAAACAGCTAATATGGACATTCTCTTTCAATTATATGATTTACCACCACCAGTGTCATAAAATACTAAACAGCTAATATGGACATTCTCTTTCAATTATATGATTTACCACCATCATTGTTCTAACATTAGGCAGTCAATAATGTGTTAATAATGTGTCAATAATTTTTACATTGACAGAAAGATGTAAATGTTCCAAACAATTGTTACCATGTCCCATCTATTTCAGAATCAGACGAAGAATATCCAGGGGAAGATGAAGTAGAAGATGGGGTTTCTAGACCCCCACATGGTAACACTGAAGGCGATACAATCACTATGAGTACAAGACAAAAGAGGGAAGCTAGAGGTAAGTTTCTAGACCCCCATTGTAACAGTGAAGGTGATATTTACCGGAAGGGTTTGAAAATGGGTCTTATACAAAGGGCCAATATAGTCTAATAAATCCTGAAATAGGTAAAGGCAAGTAATTTTGGAATAATGAACTAGTAAGATTTTTTATATGATGAAATGTTTTGAAGACTCTTTAGTAATCTGATTCTTTAAAAATCCTTATTTGAAATCAAAGTGTGGGAAATGAGAGTCATATTTAATATTTTCAATGTAGGACATAGCCCATCAGTTTCAGAATATCAATGTTCAAATTATTTTGGAATGATGTTGGCTTCTTTCATATAGTCAAATGTTTTAAAGAAATTTTTCTCGGAACTCTGATACTTCAGAAATCCTAGTTCTCTACTTTTTGTCATATCCACCAGGGGTAATGGATCTGATAATTCCTGATACATAACAAGGAACCACCAAGCACAAATTGTCTGTAAGTCTGTCTTGTAGAGACCATGCTTATCCACAATGGATTCCCAGACAGCTGACTTATCATCTATAAATGTAGAGACTGATGCAGCTTCTCCTTTGTACTCAGGCACCTCAAGGTTGAAATATTTTGCAATGGCTCCCCATAGCTGTTTCCATCTAAATACATCCCCATTTGCAATATTGAAGGCCTGGTTAGCTGCCTTTGGCTCTGTGGACTCCCAAATCATGTGGTCAGCCAACATCTCAGCATCTGTAATATTAGATATGTTGTGATACAGATTCTTACCACCAAAGAAATGAAACGGCAAGTTGAGCTCTTTGCATAAGGTTGCATATACAGCTATTCCCGTAGCTGCATTCATTACATTGTTAGGGGCAAATCCTACGATGACCATAGGTCTAGCAACACTCCATGTGAAGCCTCTCTTGGCAACCCAGCTAAATACTTCATCCTCCAACTCGTAGTAGAAGTTGGGACCAGGAAGTCTATCCATTGTTTCTTTGATAGGGTCAACAGGATTCATAAAATCGCCAAAATTACCCAAGTAGTGCTTGCATCCAGTCAGCAATGCAAAATGTTTGATCTTAGATGGTAGATGCTCCACTAAATTAGCCAACATTGATCGATTCACATCACAATCTTTCTCGGGATCCGTTGTGGATACCCATGTTGTGTAAAATACATGGGTGACATCTTTTAGATCTCTCAATGCCTCAACACATTTGCTTGCATCTTGGAGGTCACAGATAATATGGTCCATTCCCTGAGGGAGGAAATCTGAGGCCCTTCTTGATATGCCATACACTTTCCAGTTGTTTGAAACCAAGCGACGTGCCAAGCTGAGTCCAGCTACCCCAGTCACACCTGCTATAAGGGCTGTACCAGATGACATCTCAGTTTTGTGTGTTGGTTTTCTTCAACAATGTCAGCAAATCAACTACCATGGAATCTTAAACCTTGAATAGAGAATTTTGAGTTATTATTAACTGTGAAAATTGAGAGGAACTTATATGTATGTGTCACTTAGTACAATTTTGTACATTTTTAGAATATAACATGTTAATACATGTTAATCCAGTACCCAATAGGGCCTGATCATGGGTGCTATATTGGTGCTACTTTGTTCAAGTAGAACAGTATGTTTTGCTGTATGCTGTATACACGGTGTTATAGCATGACGGTTAGGTCAAGGCGATTTGCAAAATTTTGCGGTAACGATAACAAAAAATGGCGGATGGGAAAGACAGCATGTCCTCTTTCTCGCCTGTAGGCAAGATTTGCAGATAAGATTTCCTTTTCAACTAGTTCCATTCGGTGACGTATATATGGATGGTTATAAAGACTGGGTCAAATCTGCCAGGTGGTTTTCTAGAAGCGGAATATAAGCTGTAAACTTACCGACTGAGATGTCCAAGTTCATATTTTTTAGTCCATTCTCGTGATTTCTCAGTATATGTTCCTCAGAGCCACTCAAACTATTAACAGTAAGTAAACTGTATATAAACAAGCCATAAAATGACAAATCCAGAACAGGAAGTGGTCATATTGTAAATAATAAGGTTTCAAACGCAATATCGTTAGATGACTACGTATGAATTCTATGGACGGTAACGTATTGTATTAGATGTACATTAGATATTTAGCGGACGGTTACGTGCATGTACATCTTTCAAGTTAAGGTTGCTAGTTCTGATAGCCTCTTTCCATGTAATTGGTATAATGGGTAAGAAATGGAATATTGAATTGCTTATATTTGTTTTCAGGACTCGCAAGAGACGCTCTTGTTTGAGCCTCTATAGGGCAAGGAAAAAATTGTGTTTTGTTTAATTTTTGAAACCAATTTAAGTCAAAAAGATAGCAATGAAGAGGCAAAAGAAGAATTAGCATCAAGTACTGATGAATATGACAAAATTAATAACAATGAATATGGGGAACATATTTGAACGAGGTTCGCGTAACCGTCAATCAATTTTTTGCGTAACCGCAAATTAAAAATACAATATTATGGCTTAAGTAGAACATATTAGGTGGTTTCCAATGCTCAATTGGCTTTTTATGATCGTATGTAGGTTACATCTATATACCCCAATGTCGTAAGGCAATGTAGACCATGCCCTAACGACAAAAATAAACAAATTACTAAATTTTGTGTAGTTTTGAATTTCAAACTCAACAGTTTTTCGCTTATTTTATGTTATCCACGGGCATCAATTTGCGAAGAATATGTTCAAAATATACATTACTAAATGCATCACCGAATGCGATGCCTACAAAAATCGTTCATCATTTCATTGATACACAGTAAAAGAAAATAATGCACCAACCTTAGTTTTCTGTTCCATCGCGGCCATTTTATTGGATAAATCAGTGATTGTAGTCGTCTAATCTCGTTTTCAGAAGTGTCGTAACCGTCATGCTATAACACCGTGGTATAAGTCCTCTGACGATTTCAAAGCTCTTGAAATGACAGTTTTTGGTGTTTACTCTATAGCATTTGACAAAAAATAGGACTTAAAAATTTGCAGGGAACCTTCTCATGTATAAAGTCATGGGCAGGTTTTATATATATATATTTCTTTATTGCGACCAATTCTGATCATATACATATAGTTTAACATAAAAGGTTATAAAAGGTTAATAATGAAGAAAAAACATACATAAATATAACAAAATATAGTTGTTTAGTGCAGGACGTTTAGAGTATTGAGAAATCTAGATCTCAATTGGTACATATGATACACCGTCCTGGCTATTATAATACAATCATCATATTCATTTGGGGCAAAAATATTTTTAATTACATTTAAGTCACTTCCGCCTAAGTAAGGTCGTATAGGATCTCTAATTGTTTCCAGCACATCACAAAATTTAATAAAATGTAACAATGATTCATGAGAATTACACATTGGGCATACCCTATTCACATTTGGCTCGGTGTGACGACCAACACCTTCACCAACCAGTAGTCTTACCATAAGTTTACATTTGAATATCATTTCAGGTTTGTATTTACATAGCTGGTACCAGACTATTGGAGTACGAGTAGTTACTACTTCTCTATAGTGTTTGATTTTATTGTATGTCATACATTGAATACGCCATCTTTCCAGAGACTTTGTAAGAACAGAACTTTTCACTATCTTTTTCCAGTGCCACTTGGATGGAAATGTGTTATTGGAAATATAGCTATCCATTCTTCCTATAAGATCATATTGCATTCCAAGTTGTATAATTTCCCTAATTGGTGATAAAACGGTTACAGAACATTTATCTACGAAGAAGCTATATAGTATAGCATACCATCTAAAGATACTTAACTTCTTACAAATACCAACACTAGTATTAAAAATGTGCCAGAAATACATGAGCTGTGATGTGATTGAAAATTGTTTTAAAAACCATTTCACACTTTTTCTTAGCCTTGCCCAAGTCGGTCTCTTTTACTTATCTTGTCTTGATTTCTATTATGACCGCCTTGTACCCGAGAGAAAGCCACGTGCTTACAGACAGTTTGTTGATGTCGGTAAAATTTGACCAATCAATGACGGCCCTGTTGCGTTAGATCATTATTATGCACGGTCAAAAACAAGTACACTTTTCACCGGAACTTTTCACGAACAAATCTTGCACAAATTCATCATGAAAATAAAAATATTTTATCAGATAAATATCAATCAGAGTTTAGCGGATGCCGGAGCATCGATTGGATAACCGGAGGTGATAAGATTTCAACAATAAACCTTGAAACGATCGCTGAATTCAAATTATCGAACATGTAGGCTGAGATTGAATCATTGATCGACTGCATGACCCGCTACATTTTCATTGTGCATTTTCAACACGAAATCAGTTTTAATCAACATTGAATCGCATCATTTAATTTATATTAATGACTCTTACATTCCAATGTACATTTACATTTATATTCATGAATGATATTGCAACTCTAAAGAAACACCCGATCAGATCATTGAATTTCAAGTCGTAGACGGGAAGTTTGCTTTGTTTATGCAGCTCAACCTGATAACGTTTTGATTGGTCAATCAGCCTGAAGTCACACGTCGTGTCGTCCGCGTGATCTGTCAATCAATAAGGTTTCGCGATACCCCTGATAGCGTAGGTATAATGGAAATCTCGAAACCGTTGAATATCTCAGCATAATATCAGCGAAGATGTATTGGATTATACAAGGTGGTAATAATTCAAGATCAGATTAGTAAAAAAATACCGACTTGGGCAAGGCTAACTTTTTCTCTCCTTCCAATTTGCTTTCAACTAGCTACTATATGCTACTATCTGGACTGAACTTGGCAGGAATATTTTTTTTATTTAGGTCAAAGGTCAAACCTTCAAACTAAAATTTTTATATATATATTAGCATAAAGTTTTCACAGTTTTGAGATATTTGATGTCCAAAAAATTGACCAATTTTTCTTAAAATGCTCTACTGGCTCTCAGGTGTTCAGTAGGTCTGCTAGCGCATCGTGAAATACGGACCTTCTCGGGAAGAATATTTTCTGTGTTTCACTTGAATCATCGAATAACTTTTAGTATTGAAGGATTAGAGTCCATTTCACTGCTTCATTTCATCAGTAGAACGGCAAAAATAAGAAATTGGGAGACCATTGTGCAATAATATATGGAAAAGTATATTCATAATGTACATGAATGACATTTGTATATTTCAGATTTTTAGTTTTATGTGCAATAAGCCTGTGCCGTCTTGTAATTTGAAGAATTTCAGCCATGTTAATCTTATGGAAAATAACATGGCAGAGAAGCATCCCAATATAAGAGGCCACACACTTTATAAGCCAAACTAGAAGCAATCCAAGATATACAAATGTCATTCATGTACATTATGAAAATACTTTTCCATATATTATTGCACAATGGTCTCCCAATTTCTTATTTTTGCCGTTCTACTGACGAAATGAAGAAGTGAAATGGACTCTAATTATATTCAAAAGCATCACTAAATTTCTTTTAATTCTCCTAATATGCAAAGATGTTTAAACATAGAATGTACTTACTTTGAACAGTAATTCGGTGGATGTCTGCAGTGTTTATGACAAAAATTGCATGCAGACAGTGAAATTTATAGTTTAGAAAAGCATTTTGAACTATGATCCTGTTATGACAGATGATGATCCTTTTAAAGAAATTCACATTTCCCAATCAAAACTGCTTTTTATTTAAAGTATATATTTCAATTAATACTATATTACAATTATGTGCTTGTTGCATTGAGGAAACCTTTGGAAAATAAGGTCTATTTCAAACTTATTAACTTTAAAGAGGACACTTTAATGCAAGGGCAGGGAAAAATATGACAAGATGTAACACTGAATAACACTGTATGAATACTGATCCCTTTTGGGCACTATAATCTAAATGACAGGTAGCAGGTAGCGTGACTAACCTTTGAACTTTCTCATGGTTCCGTCTATAACTTCGAAAGAAATCATTTAGCTATGGAATCACAATCTACTAAAAAGTGCTTAGACTGTTCACTCAGTTATTGTTTGAGTGTGTAACAGTCTAAATTGAGAGAATCCATTTTTTTCATTCGCATAATCATTAATCATAAATACTTATTCACAATGTCATATATTTATGTTATTTGATATTCGCATGCTTAATGTTTTCACAAATTAATCCATACAACACTACATTTCATCCTCCCCTGTAACTCACTTGAAACTTAGGTTTATGAAAGAAGGACATATGCTTGAAAATGAAGTTCATTACATGTTTGATTTATTTCATCTGTGTGATTTTCCTGAAATACCAATGTTATTTTGCATATCTATTCTTTTAATTTTTGACCCATGTTTTGGAATCAAGATGTGGGAAATGGGATTCATATTTATTGTGATTGAAGACAAACTTCTCCGTTAAATTCTTTTAAATGCATAATTGTTTCCAGATTTTGCAAAATATCAGTTTCTAAGTCGTTTTGGAATGATATTGGCTTTTTTCATATAATCAAATGTTTTAAAGAAATTTTTCTCAGAACTCTGATACTTCAGAAATCCCAGTTCTCTACTTTTTGTCATATCCACTAGGGGAAATGGATCTGATAATTCCTTATACATATCAAAGAACCACCAAGCACAAATTGTCTGTAAGTCTGTCTTATAAAGATTATGTTTCTCCACAATGGATTCCCAGACAGCTGATTTATTATCCATAAATGTAGAGACTGATGCAGCTTCTCCTTTGTACTCAGGCACCTCAAGGTTGAAATATTTTGCGATAGCCACCCACATTTGTTTCCATCTAAATACATCCCCATTTACAACATTGAAGGCCTGGTTAGCTGCCTTTGGCTCTGTGGACTCCCAAATCATGTGGTCAGCCAACAGCTCAGCATCGGTAATATTAGATATATTGTTATACAGATTCTTACCACCAAAGAAATGAAACGGCAAGTTGAGCTCTTTGCATAAGATTGCATATACAGCTATTCCCGTAGCTGCATTTATTACATTGTTAGGGGCAAATCCTATGATGACCATAGGTCTAGCAACACTCCATGTGAAGCCTCTCTTGGCAACCCAGCTAAATACTTCATCTTCTAACTCGTAGAAGAAGTTGCGACCAGGAAGTCTATCCATTGTTTCTTTGATAGGGTCAACAGGATTTATGAAATTGCCAAAATTCCCCAAGTAGTGCTTGCCTCCAGTCACCAATGCAAAATGTTTGATCTGAGCTGGAAGATGCTCCATTAAATTAGCCAACATTGATCGATTCACATCACAATCTTTCTCAGGATCCATCGTTGGTGCCCATGTTGTGTAGAAGACATGGGTGACATCTTTTAGATCTTTTAATGCCTCAAGACATTTGCCTGCATCTTGAAGGTCACAGAGAATATGGTCCATTCCCTGAGGGAGGAAATCTGAGGCCCTTCTTGATATGCCATACACTTTCCAGTTGTTTGAAACCAAGCGACGTGCCAAGCTTAGTCCAGCTACCCCAGTCACACCTGCTATAAGGGCTGTACCAGATGACATGTCTGTTTTGTGTTTTGGTTTTCTTCAACAATGTCAGCAAATCAACAACCATGGAATCTTAAACCTTGAATAAAGAATTTTGAGTTATTATTAACTGTGAAAATTGAGAGGAACTTATATGTATGTGTCACTTAGTACAATTTTGTACATTTTTAGAATATAACATGTTAATACATGTTAATCCAGTACCCAATAGGGCCTGATCATAGGTGCTATATTGGGGTCAGTAAATACATGCTTTTGACATAAAAAAGTAAAATTTTCTTTAAATATCAGACACTTTGTTCAAGTAGAACTTTCAAATAAATGTTAGTAGTTGCTGTATGCTGTATATGTCCTCTGACGATTTCAAAGCTCTTGAAATTATAGTTTTTGGTGTTTACTCTATAGCATTTGACAAAAAGTAGGACTTAAACATTTGCAGGGAACTTTCTCATGTATAAAGTCATAGGCAGGTTTTGTGATTGAAAATTGTTTTAAAAACCTTTTCACACTTTTTCTCTCATTCCAACTAGCTTTCAACTAGCTTCCATATGCTACTATATGCTACTATATGGACTGAACTTGGCAGAAATATTTTTTTATTTAGGTCAAAGGTCAAACCCTTAAACTAAAATTTTTATATATATATATTAGCATAAAGTTTTTACAGTTTTGAGATATTTGATGTAAAAAAATGACAAATTTTTCTTGAAATACTCTACAGGCTCTCAGATGTTCAGCAGGTCTGCTAGCGCATTGTTAAATACAGACCTTCTCAGGAAGAATATTTTCTGTATTTGAATCATTGAATAACTTTTAGTATTGAAGGATTAACTATATTCAAAAGCATCACTAAATTTCTTTTAATTCTCCATATATGCAAAGATGTTGAAACATAGAATGTACTTACCTTGAACAGTAATTCGGTGGATGTCTGCAGTGTTTATGCCAAAAATTGCATGTAGACAGTGAAATTTATAGTTTAGAAAAGTATTTTGAATTATGAGCCTGTTATGATAGGTGACGATACTTTTAAAAAAGATTCACATTTCCCATTCAAAACTGCTTTTTATTTAAAGTATATATTTCAATTAATAGTATATTATAATTATGTGCTTGTTGCATTAAGGAAACCTTCGGAAAATAAGGTCTGTTTCAAACTTATTAACTTTAAAGAGGACTCTTTAATGCAAGGGCAGGGAAAAATAGGACAAGATGTAACACTTTTACCTAACTGAATGTGAAAATATCTGTTTGTGCAATGGTATGAATACTGATCCCGTTTGGGCACTATAAATCTAAATGACAGGTATCAGGTAGCTTGACTAACTTTTGAACTTTCTCATGGTTCCGTCTATAACTTTGAAAGAAATCATTTAGCTACGTAACCACAATCTACAAAAAAAGATACAAATGCTCTCATTTCAAGAGATTTACCTGCTATGAGATTGAATTGCTCCAGAATGTACAATGACATTATAACAATATAATCATATTAATCCACACAACACTACATTTTATCATTCGCATAATCATTAATCATAAATAATTATTCACAATGTCATATATTTATGTTTTTTTTTCATATTCACATGCTTAATGTTTTCACCATATTAATCCACACAACACTACATTTTATCATTCGCATAATCATTAATCATAAATACTTATTCACAATGTCATATATTTTTTTATTTTTTTTTCATATTCATATGCTTAATGTTTTCACCATATTAATCCACACAACACTACATATTATCATTCGCATAATCATTAATCATAAATACTTATTCACAATGTCATATATTTATGGTTTTTTTTCATATTCACATGCTTAATGTTTTCACCCTATTAATCCACACAACTCTTATATTTTATCATTCGTATAATCATTAATCATAAATACTTATTCACAATGTCATATATTTACGTTATTTGATATTCACATGCTTAATGTTTTCACCATATTAATCTACACAACACTACATTTTATCATTCGCATAATCATTAATCATAAATACTTATTCACAATGTCATATATTTACGTTATTTTATATTCACATGCTTAATGTTTTCACTATATTAATCCACACAACACTTATATTTTATCCTCCCTTTTAACTCACTTGAAACTTAACTTTATGAAAAAAGGACATATGCTTGAAAATGAAGTTTATTACATGTTTGATTTATTTCATCTGTGTGATTTTCTTGAAATACCAATGTTATTTTGCATATATATTCTTTTAATTTTTGACCCTTCTTTTGGAATCAAGATGTGGGAAATAAGATTCATATTTATTTTGATTGAAGACAAACTTCTCTGTTAAATTCTTTTAAATGCATAATTTTTTCCAGATTTTGAAAAATATCAGTTTCTAAGTCATTTTGGAATGATATTGGCTTTTTTCATATAATCAAATGTTTTAAAGAAATTTTTCTCAGAACTCTGATACTTCAGAAATCCCAGTTCTCTACTTTTTGTCATATCCACCAGGGGTAATGGATCTGATAATTCCTGATACATAACAAAGAACCACCAAGCACAAATTGTCTTTAAGTCTGTTTTATAGAGACCATGTTTATTCACAATGGAGTCCCACACATCTGACTTATCATCCATAAATGTAGAGACCGATGCAGCTTCTCCTTTGTACTCAGGCACCTCAAGGTTGAAATATTTTGCAATGGCTCCCCATAGCTGTTTCCATCTAAATACATCCCCATTTACAACATTGAAGGCCTGGTTAGCTGCCTTTTGCTCAGTTGACTCCCAAATCATGTGGTCAGCCAACATCTCAGCATCAGTAATATTAGATATGTTGTGATACAGATTCTTACCACCAAAGAAATGGAACGGCAAGTTGAGCTCTTTGCATAAGATTGCATATACAGCTATTCCCGTAGCTGCATTTACTACATTGTTAGGGGCAAATCCTACGATGACCATAGGTCTAGCAACACTCCATGTGAAGCCTCTCTTGGCAACCCAGCTAAATACTTCATCCTCCAACTCGTAGTAGAAGTTGGGACCAGGAAGTCTATCCATTGTTTCTTTGATAGGGTCAACAGGATTCATAAAATCGCCAAAATTACCCAAGTAGTGCTTGCCTCCAGTTAGCAATGCAAAATGTTTGATCTGAGATGGTAGATGTTCCATGAGATTGGCTAACATTGATCGATTCATGTCACAGTCTTTCTCAGGATCCATTGTCGTTGCCCATGTTGCGTAGAAGACATGAGTGACATCTTTTAGATCTTCTAGTGCATCAGAACACTGGCTTGCATCCTGAAGGTCACAGAGAACATGGTTTATCCCACTAGGGAGGAAATCTGAGGCCCTTCTTGATATGCCATACACTTTCCAGTTGTTTGAAACCAAGCGACGTGCCAAGCTGAGTCCAGCTACCCCTGTCACACCTGCTATAAGGGCTGTACCAGATGACATATCTGTTTGTGTGTTGGTTTTCTTCAACAATGTCAGCAAATCAACTACCATGGAATCATAAACCTTGAATGAAGAATTTTGAATTATTTATAACTGTGAAAAGTGAGAAAAACTTATATTTACATGTATGTGTCACTTAGTACAATTTTATATGCGTTTTGAGTATTACATATTCATACATGTTAACCAATGCCCAATTGGCCTTGATCATAGGTGCTATATTGAGGTCAGTCGATACATGTTCACCAATGCCCAATTGGCCTTGATCATAGGTGCTATATTGGGGTGAGCAAATACATGTTAACCAATGCCCAATTGGCCTTGATCATAGGTGCTATATTGGGGTGAGCAAATACATGTTAACCAATACCCAATATCCCAGATGCGAGTAGAAATAATCTTGATTTACGTCATTAAAAATTCAAAATTCAGTCAAACTGATGTCATATTTGGAATCTACATGTAAAATTACATTTAGAAATGAGGTTTTGAAAAGAGTTAATCAACTCTGAAAATTTAATTTTCTTTGAAAATGTGACTTCTAGGTCGGGGAGATTCCCCATAGACCCCATGTTGTAAAACCACAAAAAGTGAAATATTTTTTCTTGTGTTGGGCAGATAATATTTTCTTTTACTGGACATATTTTAATTTGCATAACTATCAGATACACAGGGGTAATATGAAAAGTGAACCACTAAAACTGATGCATATTCAAGTTTAAGGGAATTTTGTAATACCCTGCCACGTTAATTCCCCCGAATCAGCCACCTGGTGGCGAAACTGGTACTACCTACTCGCATCTGAGTAATTGGCCTTGATCATAGGTGCTATATTGGGGTCAGTAGATACATGTTCACCAATGCCCAATTGGCCTTGATCATAGGTGCTATATTTGGGTCAGTAGATACATGTTAACCAATGTCCAATTGGCCTTGATCATAGGTGCTATATTTGGGTCAGTAAATACATGTTTACCAATGCCCAATTGGACATGATCATAGGTGCTATATTTAGATCAGTGCCAAGGGTGGTAAACCAGCAAAAGGTTTTCAGAAGACAGTATGCAAAAAAGTAATAAGCGTTTAACCATAAGTAAAACAAATAAGTAAAACAAACCCCAAAATATGATTTAACACATTAAGAAACAATTTTAAAAACTTTATAGACACAACATTATGTATAGAATTTTTAAATTCCTACACCCATAAGAACAGTAAGTTTCATATTACCAAGTACCTTCTTTTTTGGGAGTATTCCTAATACACTGGCTAATGCTACACTACCCTTGCATGTAACATTTTTGATAGTTTTGAATAGATTGGATTAGAATGAAATCCGGTGTATTTTTAGACCCTAGTTTGATAATACATGCAAATTATTCTGAAGGACTAACTATATTCTAAAGTATCACTACATTTCTTTTAATTTGTGTAATGTGCATTTATGTTAATACATAGAATGTACTTACTTTGAACAAGTAATTCGGTGGATGGCTGCAGTGTGTTTATGTCGAAAACTGCATGTAGACTGTGACATTTAAAGTTTCGAAAAGCAATTAAAACAAAATTATGAGATAGTAAATTAGCTATGGGAGTTTGTGATCCTTTTCAAGAAATCAAATTTTCCAACTGTAGCTGCTTTTAATTTTAAATTTATATTTATTTCCATTAATAGTACATTATATCACAATTATGTGCTCATTGTATTGAGGAAATAAAATATTTTTCAAACTTATTAATTTAGGGAGGACGCTTTAATGGAAGGGTAGGGGAAAGTATGCAAAGATGTATCACTTTGACCTCACTATCTTTGAAGATATTTCTGTTTGTTCAATGGCATGAATGTTAAACAGGTTTTTATGAGTACTGTAGTTTTGAAGTGTCAACACTATATTATAATCTAAATGAAAGGTAGTAGACAGCAGGCCCGTAGCCAGAGGGGGTTCGGGGGGTTCGGGCGAACCCCCCCCCCTGGCCTTTTTGTGTGATTTTTCGCCGAATATGCCAAAGTGAACTCCCCCCTAGAATTTTGGGGAAAAGTGAACCCCCCCTTGAAAAATTCTGGCTACGGGCCTGGACAGCACAATTTACTTTTGATTTTTTTCTGTTCTGTTTATGCTTTTGTAATAAATAATTTGGGTATGAACCACACACACCAAAAAATTTATTCATGGACTGTTCACTCATCATTGTTGCATTGACATCCATGGACCGTTCACTCAATTATTGTTTGTGTGTATAACTAAAAATTGATTTATAGACTGCTCACTCAATCATTGTTCATGTGTATACTGTAACTGTTAAACTTATCATTCTTAGACTATTCACTCAATTATTGTTTGTGTGTATAACTAAAAATTGATTTATAGACTGCTCACTCAATCATTGTTCATGTGTATACTGTAACTGTTAAACTTATCATTCTTAGACTATTCACTCAATTATTGTTTGTGTGTATAACTAAAAATTGATTTATAGACTGCTCACTCAATCATTGTTCATGTGTCACTGTATACTGTAACTGTTAAACTTATCATTCTTAGACTATTCACTCAATTATTGTTTGTGTGTATAACTAAAAATTGATTTATAGACTGCTCACTCAATCATTGTTCATGTGTATACTGTAACTGTTAAACTTATCATTCTTAGACTATTCACTCAATTATTGTGTGTGTATAACTGTTTAAATTGATTCATGGACTTTTCATTTGATTATTGCTTGTGTGTATAACTGTTAAAATTTATCCATGGACTGTTCACTCAATTATTCTTTGTGTGTATAACTGTTTAAATTGATTCATGGACTGTTCATTTGATTATTGCTTGTGTGTATAACTGTTAAAACTGAGAGCAGCCATTTTTTAATTTGCATAATCATAAATACTGCCTCAGTTATTTAATAATCATATACTTATAATGTTTTTCACTGTATCATTCCACAGAACACTTAGATTTTATCCTCCCTTGCAACTCCCTTTTAAGCATTAGTTTAATGGGGAAAGGGACATGTGTTTGTAAATAATGTCCATTACATACTTGATTTATTTCAAAACCACAGTGTATTACCCAAACGCTCCTACATGCACGACGGAGCGTTTCATTTATGCGGAAACGCTCCGAAGCGAAATAAAATGGCGGCTAATGAAGATTCCACTATGACCTTAAGTATTGTTTTTCTCGTTTCTCTTACATATCATATGTTATGGTGAAATATTATGTACCATTCGATGAACAATACCGTGAGCAACGATCTTATTTATTCAACTTCTGGTGGTAAACTGTTATTTGCTTGATCAAAGCTCCGTAGTGTAGCTCGAACGAATCTGAAGATGACGATTTGACCACAAATTACGAATTAAACTAGTATTTCTATGAAAACGTTAATCTTTCTGTTAAAGTAGTAGATCACAAACTCGTATATTTTCATTTCCTAAAATCCCAGTCCGAATCCATTACTTGTTCTCGAGAAATCGCTTGTTTTCCTCGAAACGCTCCGTCGATTTAGAACACAATTTTAGAAACGCTCTTACCATTTTGTTTTGATATCATTTTCAGATTATTAGAGAAGAGTTCCGAATCAAATCTATCAAAAACGTGTTGTACTTGTTAGGCAAATTGAAACATCTGAACCTGGTGGTGCTAAACATGCAACTAGCTGATTTAAGCCTACATTAGATGATATCATGCCTACATATGTGCTAAATCATAAAACTAAAGAAAAAAAACGAAAATTTACATGTGAATTAATCTTTCTTTTTTGATGCCAAGGGGTATAATAGATCTTTTTTTCTCTTCCTGAAAAGGAAAGGCAAGCTATATATTTCCTAAACTGATCTAGACAACCGGAGCGTTTCCAGTTCACTGTGTTAACCAGATCGGAGCGTTTCTTGAATATGAGAATGTCATTATTTCTAAGACTGGATTTTCGGTCATCAAATCACTATTACGATAATGTTTGGTGCGTTGAAGCATTGGAATTTGACTAAAATATACGTTGGTGCTCTAATCTTGGCTCAACTAATCACATGTATCGACAAAAGAGGTTTTTACCGGTGAAATGACAAATATGTTTTTGAATTTTGATAACTATACTGCTTCGTACAGCTCTTCCTAATTGCTTCAAACGTCAACAGCCAGCCAAGTACAACATGAATATCACACCCATCGAATGGTATACTCGAAATATGTAACTCATACCTCTTATTCCCATTATTGGGGAAATCGTCAGACGGCTCATCATTCCCACTAGCCAGTTTTCCTACTCCGGAGCGTTTCTTTGTTTAATTTCAGTAATGAAACGCTCCGTCGTGCATGTAGGAGCGTTTGGGTTATACACCGTGAAAACTGTTTGATTTTCTCCAAATAGCAAGGATGTAAATTCTAAAACATGTCCTCTGCATTGAAATGAGAAAAGACTGTTGTCCCACATCTATTAAGAAACAAAGCAATTTGGGAACACCTACCTTTAATGCTCCTTATTATTCAAATATTTGACAATATTTAATTATGATTTCTTATGGGAGATTTAAATTGTATTTAAAGACTTGATTGATTGTAAAGATTGTTCCATCAAAAATATGCATATGATCCATTGAAAACTCATGGTATGCATAATTTAATATATTTTTGTTCTCATCCCTTACCATATCTATTTGATTTGCCAGCTCTGCTCACTTTGTATATAGCATGTTTCAATACATGTTGAAGAGCAAATGGGTAATAAATACCTATGCAGTTAGTAAATATTTTGAAGATTTTAGAATCTGAATGCATGTTGTGCATAACCTTACAATATCCACATTTATAAATTCACACTACCCTACCTCGATAGCGCATGCGCGAATTTTTTGGCTTTCGACCACGTCGCTTTTGAGTATTTCGACTGCTTAGTCAAAAGGTTAATACGTTTGGTGCTCGGAGTGAGTCAATATTGCTATTCGCTGAACTTCAGTGGTGCAATAGTGAAGTCCATGTTCCAAGTTATATGATATTTGAAGAAAGAATGTAAATAATATTGTTTTAAATTTTAAAATATTTGATATGTCATAGTACACGGTACACAGATGCAAAAGTTGATCAATACAGGGTACAAGGAATGTAAATTGCTCAATAGTACAGGGAGCGAGAGAGTAAGCTGATTATACAGACATACTATGTCCCGATCTCATGTACATTTACGTTGCAAACAGTGAAAATAATGCTAAAAGGCCGCCTGTTGATGCTTTGAGGTGTCATCAATTGTTCTTTAATCCAAATAAAGTAAACATTATTTTGTAGATTTAGACAGGGCTTTCAGGTCGTATACAAGTATGCATTTTAGTCATTAAAGAACGGGTATCAAATTGAAATGAAATAACGAAATTAAATATGAACACGTTAATGATAAATGAATATCCGCTATCAGGATTAATGACTATCCGCTATTCAGACTAATTAAAATTGCCTGAACTACATGTAAAGAATCTTTTTATATAACCCATTGAATGGTCTAATTCACTACCGTCCTCAAAAAACGATCATTTAAATATTTTGTTCAAAATACCATCATGCCACGACTTGAGAGCATTTTGTTCTTCACGATTTGCTGTAGCGCTGATATGACATCGTATTTCTCTAGTTTCTATCATTGTAAAAAAAACTAATACCAGATCGATGTAGTCTTATATGACGTGTTGAATGTCAGATGTTTTTGGATGGTATCTGCTCCAGTGATTTTGCATTTAATCATTAAACGCTCAACACAAGACACCTCGAAACAAACATTATCCTCTTTGTGAGAAGACGAAAAATGGTTCACAATATGTTATGACTTACGGCAAAGTAAAGATACATTTCTGGGACGACGTTTTTTGCATCTTAAGATTTTAGAAAAACAATTAATTCACAAAAATACAGTTGAATAACATACTGGAAAACGTATCCACATATAACACGATGACACGCAGTTTAAATAACAGTAAACTGGGTTTTTTGTTACATATCAATGTAACATTTTCGAAGGGAAACTTACATGCTCCCTGTACGTTGATAGATTTACTGAAATGTATCGTGTATTGCATTGAGTTTTGCTTCACTGCACCCACTATTATCTATGTTTGCCTATAGTGGTTTTTTGCCAACAATATTTTACAAACTGCTTGATGAATCAATTCTATGTCTGGTAGAATACTAGAAATAAATGTAAAATGTATTTTACGTTCAGAAATATGGAATTAAACCCACGTCCTCCATTTGCAACTTAGCTGTACCCTGTTTCCCTTTTAAACGTGGTCACGTGGTAGGGTAGTGTGAAATTGTACTTACTCAGATCGTCTATGTCCACAGATATCTGACTAACTGACTGGTATATTCATCACAAGGTAAATGTATTGTTGCACCTTGAACCTCCAACCTTGTTATTGTTTTTAACAACAGTGAAGTGATCAAAATCACATGAGGTGGTCACATGTTAGAGATTCTTTAGGACATGATTTTACCTCAAATAACTCTATAGTATGTTTAGTGACTCCAAGGTATGCAGTACATGTATGGTTACATTTCTTAAACCTTGTACTCATTTCCCTTTGAATTTCAGAATTCACTTTTAATTTTTTTTTAGATTCTAAGGTAATTCACAGATTTTTAAAATAATCCTGGTGATTATTTTTATTTTATTTTTTAATCACCCTGGTGGTTTTACAATATACTCATATTACCAGGATTTGCAATTTTGAATACTTTTGCTCATTTTATATGGTAATTTTCAACTTCTAGTACATGATATGCGAAAGATGAAATCCAGAAAATCTCTCAACAAAAGGTACAATGGCGGATTTACATGTAATTTGCCTGTAAATAATACTAAACTTACATATGTAAATGTATTTAAGGCACATTCACATGTAATTTGCCTTTAAATAATACTAAACTTACACATGTAAATGTACAAAAGGCATATTTACATGTAATTTGCCTGTAAATAATACTAAACTTACACATGTAAATGTACAAAAGGCATATTTACATGTAATTTGCCTGTAAATAATACTAAACTTACACATGTAAATGTACAAAAGACATATTTACATGTAATTTGCCTGTAAATAATACTAAACTTTCACATGTAAATGTACAAAAAGCATATTTACATGTAATTTGCCTGTAAATAATACTAAACTTACACATGTAAATGTATGAAAGGTATATTTACATATAATTTGCATGTAAATAATACTAAACTTTCACATGTAAATGTACAAAAGGCATATTTACATGTAATTTGCCTGTAAATAATACTAAACTTACATATTTAAATGTACAAAAGGCATATTTACATGTAATTTGCCTGTAAATAATACTAAACTTACACAGGTAAATGTACAAAAGGCATATTTACATGTAATTTGCCTGTAAATAATACTAAACTTACACAGGTAAATGTACAAAAGGCATATTTACATGTAATTTGCCTGTAAATAACACTAAACTTACACATGTAAATGTACAAAAGGCATATTTACATGTAATTTGCCTTTAAATAATACTAAACTTACACATGTAAATGTACTAAAGGCATATTTACATGTAATTTGCCTGTAAATAATACTAAACTTACATATGTAAATGTACAAAAAGCATATTTACATGTAATTTGCCTGTAAATAACACTAAACTATATGTAAATGTACAAAAGGCATATTTATATGTTATCAGGTAGAGCAAAGAAGAAACTGGATGAGCTTGAAAGATTGATTGAGATTGCACGTAAGAATTTCTCCCAACTTGGCGGGAAGATGAAGGAAGATCGGAAAAAGATACAGGAAGATCGGGAAAATGTCAGGTAAGATAATGAATCAGATAAATACATAACATTCAACATTATTGCTTCTTAGTTCCTTGAGATACAATTACAATTATGTACAATAATAGGTACAATTACAATAGAAAACAAATATACAGTCTACTAACCCCAAGAGTCTTTATAAATGCAAATTACATTAGAAAAAAGATTTTGCAAAAGTACCTGGACATAATAGAGTTTGAAATGTGCGTGTTGTATTTCTTCTGCTATATTCTTCAATTTGAAAGAAATTCTTCTTGTTTTAAAGATGCTGTCCAAATATTGACAATTGTAGTAAAATTTTGGTGGAGAGGTTAATTGAAGATATCTTTTTTGTGAATGTTGATTTCCTAAATAGATAGACCATCAGAAAATCAACATTTCAAAAGTTTCAAAACATTCTTGCTTGATGCATTCATAGAAAGTAACGTGTTACATACAATACCTATGAATGGAAAAAGTAACATTAGCGGCAGTAACAGTAAATTTTATTATGAGAATAAGTCCATACATCTATGCAATTCTACTGTATTATACATAAAAAATTAATATCTTTTATTTCTGGAAAATTTCAAAATTTTCCTGAGTCAACATTTGGACAGCATCTCTTAGAGTCAGTGTTATTGATAATCTAATCCTTTGATTTATTGCTTTCCTGTTTGCCTCTTTAGGAACTCAGAGTGAGTATCAGTAGAACGCGCTAGTTGAAATTAAATACTATAAAAGAAATATTTCTAAACACCTTGCATTAGTAAAATGCTGCTTGAATTAAACTATTTTAATAGAAGTATTTCTAAAGTAAACTCCTTGCATTTGTAAAATGCTGCTTTAAAGTAAACACCTTGCATTTGTAAATTGCTGCTTGAATTTAACTATTATAATAGAAATATTTCTAAACACTTTGCATGAGTAAAATGCTGCTTGAATTAAGCTATTTTAATAGATATATTTCTAAACACCTTGCATTAGTAAAATGCTGCTTGAATTAAACTACCGTATTCGCCGTAATAAGCGCCCAGGGCACTTTTGAAATTGAAATTCCCATTGTAACTCGTTATAAAGAGCACCCATATATGAGAAAAGTAAAAAATCCCTGTGAAGCGGGGTGGGCGCTTATTAGGGGTGGGCCCTTAACACGGTGATTATGGTATTATAATAGAAATATTTCTAAACACCTTGCATTGGTAAAATGCTGCTTGAATTAAACAATTATAATAGAAATATTTCTAAACACCTTACATTTGTAAAATACAGCTCGAATTAAACTATTATAATAGAAGTATTTCTAGAGTGAACTTCTTGCGTAAAATGCTGCTTAAATTAACCTTCTGCATGCTAACTTAATTCAGCAAATATATCCCGCAAGACTGACTTATTTTTCAAAGAGTGCAAAAAATGATATGCCTGGACTAAATAATTAATATCTCAATAACTACTGAATGAATCTGGATAAAATTTTCACAAGGAGAAGATAAATTGGCCTGGCTCATGAAAAAAATGTTCTCATGAATTTTTTACGTAAATAAACAGGACTGGGCATAAATATACCATGAATACTCCTCCGGAATCCGCCGCTTCGCCCCTGTGGAGGTTCAACATCTGGTCAGAATCCAAAACTGAATTTGCAGCGATCGAATGTTCACCATTCAGTTCAGAAAATATTCTAGTTTCTATTTTCGATGACCATTATCGGCTTCCAAGAGCCTAAAGAGCTCGAAATCGCAATCCATTTCCTCCACATGTTAGTTGTGATCGTATTTGGCCGCCATTTTGTACGATTTGTTCACTAAAAACGACTTAAAAACTGTTTAAATCGTTGAATTGAGAAATATTTTTCGAAACATCGCAGGTCAACAGAAAGTCCCCACGTAAGGACTAAATAAATCGGGCAATCTAATTGGATCATATTACCGGCGGGAAAAAGTTAAATTTTTGAAAGTTTAAATTCGACTGGAGTCGCCGGCAGTTGCCGGGGATAGTTAAGCACGGGCGACTATGCTCGCCGGTAACATGCTAAAGGTTAAACTATTTGTATTTGTAAAATACTGCTTGAGTTATTAGGGGTGGGCCCTTAATACAGCGATTACGGTATTATAATAGAAATATTTCTAAACACCTTGCATTGGTAAAATGCTGCTTGAATTAAACAATTATAATAGAAATATTTCTAAACACCTTGCATTTGTAAAATACAGCTCGAATTAAACTATTATAGAGTGAACTTCTTGCATAAAATGCTGCTTAAATTAAACTATTATAGTAGAAGTTTTTCTTAGGTAAACCCCTTGCATTAGTTAAATGCTGCTAGAATTATTAATCTATTGTAATAGAAGCATTTCTAAAGTCAACGTATTGCTTCAGTAAATGCTGCTTGAATTAAAATATTATAATAGAAATATTTCTATAGTACGAGGGTTGTCCCAGAAGTAATGCACTATATGCTATAACCTTCTTTAATATTCTTCAATTCAGCTGAAATTTCGTGTAGATAACAATTTAAGTTCCATCTAATATATCCTAAAGTTTCAGCATCAAACATTAATATTAAGATTTAATATGGTTACTATAGCTACATTGGGGTAGGGGTGGGCGGGGCAGGTACCAATTTCTCTAATCATGAAAATATCCAAAGTATTATTTTATAATAAATATTTCTTTCTTTTAAATGATCAAAATGTTTGGGAAATTGTTATTCTGGAGCCCGTTTCTCGAAAATATCGTCAATTACGATTCGCGGATTGACGATTTTTGTTTTCTACGATGTTGTCCACGATTTTCCTAATTGCGTTTCTCGAAGCACCTCGTCAATGAATTCGTAATCGACGACTTTAAATGCCATGTACTTGATAGCAGTTGCCTAGCAATATAACAAATACAGTTTTATTGGCGCAATCTTTGAAAATAAGTTTTACTGAAGAAATCTAGAAGATGAAATTAGCCTTGATATTGTAAAATTGTATTTATGTTGTATTTTTTAAAATTTTACACAACAGTCTCTGGCATCGCAAATCGGTTGAATAAAGTTGAAATTAGCATTTTTACTAATTGTGTTCTACAAGTGAAGGTAAAGTTGCACTTTCGACCAAGAAGGCCCCTGTCTTGGTCGCAGACGTATTTAGCTGAAAGGGGTTTATAAAATAAATATGAAGACAATATTTTCCAAATACGGCACACATTCTTCCATTTTGATCTGAACCGGTGGATTTGTTCTTTTAATTCAGAACATAGAATCTGTTAGGGAGGAAAAAGTTTACAATTGAATTGTTAAATGAATAGGCGCACGGTATGGTAAATTATGTTAGGTATTCTAGGATTTTTATGTCACCACCAAAAAGTGGTGACATATTGTTATGGTCTCCATTTCTTGAAATGTCTTTTTTCAACTTGCTTCAAATTGACCATTTTTTCAAAATCAAATTTCACAATAATATTGTGAGCAACAAGGTGATGACATTTTGTCATGTTAATGCCTTGTTTTTGTTTGAAGATATGAGATCTATTGAAAAAGGCCTATCGTCACCAACGTGTAAAAGTCAATTTAATTCAGGCAACACTGGTCTACACGACATGTAATGAATATTATAAGGGACGTTATTTTCACAAAACTAACATTCATTTGTTGGATTTTTAAAATAAGTCACAATACGTTATGTAAAAAAATAATTGAAAAAATATTAAAATTGAACGGAAGGTGGATTAATTAATCATTTTTTTCAAATACGTAATTTTGTTGATTTGTTGAATTTTCTTGCAGAAATTACCGTTCATTCTGTCCGATCACCGGGCGTATATTGAAGACCAGAACTTTGGCTTAACCTTCTAACAAATAACCGTACATAATTGTACATTAACAAACATCACTCAATAATACCCGGAATACTATTTTCTTCCAAAATATAATACACAATAGAAACATAAGTTTGAATATTGAAATAACAAGAAAATTTAACTCGAATACTTTCGCCTCAGTTGCTTCAATATAGATACAAGGCCTGACTATTTATTTATAGGCTATGCTTTCCCATCTGGTTTCCCCGGCAAATATTTCATTACTATCCCCAGATACGTTTCGTGCAGTGTTTTATAGACCAATCAGATCACAGGAAAACAATCGTGGATGGTTGACGAGTACCCTAAGAGGTGTCGTTAATATCGTCTCCATCCACGATAAAATCGTAGATTGGCGATAATCATCAAGTTTCGAGAAACGGAAAAATCGTAGAAGACAATTGAATTCACGAATCGTAATTGACGATGTTTTCGAGAAACGGGCTCCTGCATAATGTTAAACAAGTACAAATTATGACATTTAGCACTGTGATGTCATAACACCACAGTTCAATAGTCACAAATTCAAATACAGTCACAGTCAAGAAATTGCAAAAATGGCTGCAATTCTCACCTGATAACAAAAGGCCATGCATTTGGTGGCCTAATTTCATTCTTCACTTGGACTCACAACCCGGCAAAACTTATGCTACCATGAAGAATATATAAGGAGTATATACCAAATAGAACTACAATTATGACGTGGCAGAATTGATTTAAAAGAGATGACTTGACCCTGAATGACAACTCCAAACTCCACGCGTCACAGTCAAAGAGATTGCCAAGAGTGTTTGACCTGACAGGCATCAAAAGTACATAACATGCAAAGGGCAATATTTTGAGAAAATGTGAAATGGGACACTGTGCAATATACATCCATTAGATCTAGGATGTGCTCATAGTAATTAAGTATCTTAAAACGTATTTTTGAGCATACTTCTTATAGCTATACAAAATGGTATTTGTTGATTAATTATTTAATATTTCCAATTTTTTATTCCTTTTGATGTGACTGCATAACCTGCCCCACCCTACCCAAACTCACCAACTTGATTTTATGATAACATCAATATAGTTTTATCAGTCAACATGAAAATTTGTAGAATAATCAAAGTGTCTCTAAGGAACATTAACTGAAAATTCTGCTTGAATTACACTATAATTGTAGAAGTATTTCTTAGGTAAACTCCTTGTATGAGTAAAATGCTGCTTAAATTCTACTATTATAATAGATGTATTTCTAAAGTAATCTCTTTGCATTAGTAAAATGCTGCTTGAATTAAACTATTATAGTAGAAGTATTTTTAAAGAAAACACCAATACGGAATGTTACATAGGGCTCTCACCAAGAAATATTTAGGGTGTAGTGGAAACATCTTCATAAATAACCGTTCAATCATGATAAATTATTAATGTTGGATTTTATATTTTTTACAAGCTATTACATGTATTATGTATTTAGTGAAGTTTAGACTGTGGGAACAATCATGATTTGCCAATAGGTTGTGGTGGGAGCTAAATAGACTGTGGTGCTGCCTGCAAGCCTAGCGAGAGCCCTGTTACACTATGTTTCAACACCAAGACTGACTGTTACACTACGTTTGAACACCAAGACTGAATGTTGCACTTTGATTGAACACCAAGACTTATTACAGCACTATGTGTGAACACCAATACTTAATGTTACACTATGTTTGAATACCAAGACTTAATGTTGCACTATGTTTGAATACCAATACTGAATGTTGCACTATATTTTATCACCAATACATGTACTAACCGCTGCACTATGTTTGAATATCAAGACTTAATGTTGCACTATGTTTGAATACCAAGACTTAATGTTGCACTATGTTTTAACAACAAGACTTAATGTTGCACTTTGTTTTAACATCAATACTAAATGTTGCACTATGTTCTAACACCAAGACTTAATGTTGCACTATGTTTTAACAACAAAACTTAATGTTGCACTATGTTTTAACCCCAATACTAAATGTTGCACTATGTTTCAGGACTATCAATGAGCTGCAGGCACAATTGGACTATGAGCGTATCAGACGTGAGAAACTAGAGGCACAGCTTGACGAATACAGAAGGGAGATAGCATTCTTACACTCCAGATTAGAGGCAGGAACTGAACCAAGCATGGTAAGTTAAGTACGACCAGACATACACATGGTTTTTGTGTTCTTTTAAAATGTTATAATGTTAAATTAACAGATGATTTTCTTTGTAATTTATTATATTTATAAGATATCCTGTGGCTTGCTCTGTTGATATAAAAAATGCATATAGTTCATTAGGAGTTGTATTATTTTACATACAAGGCCTAGTCAGTTTCCTGTTTTGTGTTTAATAGGTGATTGAGCACTGCATAGTTGCAATAATATAATTGTTTCAGTATGCTTTGATTCACTCTCCGATTTCAGACATTTTAGACATTTATTGCATATTTGAAGAGTGAGACAAAGCCAAACAGTAAAGGGTAATAAATTGAAGTGTTGAAAAACTCTGTTAGAATTTTTCACAACACATTTAGATTATATCTTATTTTGTGATTGCAGCTAAGTGATGATGACTACAGCTACAGACAGCATATTAAAGTTATATATTGTTTTATGATTGCAGCTAAGTGATGATGACTACAGCTTTAGACAGCATATTAAAGTTATAAATTGTTTTGTGATTGCAGCTAAGAAATGATGACTACAGCTGTAGACAGCATATTAAAGTTATATTGTTTTATGATTGCAGCCTAGTGATGATGACTACAACTATAGACAGCATATTAAAGTTATATATTGTTTTATGACTGCAGCTAAGTGCTGATGACTACAGCTATAGACAGCATATTAAAGTTATATATTGTTTAATGATTGCAGCTAAGTGAAGATGACTACAGCTATAGACAGCATATTAAAGTTATATATTGTTTTATGATTGCAGCTAAGTGATGATGACTACAGCTATAGACAGCATATTAAAATTATATATTGTTTTATGATTGCAGCTAAGTGATGATGACTACAGCTATAGACAGCCTAGTGCTACAAAGAAGAAGAAATCCAGGAAAACAAAAGTGAAGAAGGAAGAAGGAGGTGTCTTTATTAAGAGGAATATGGCACCAAGAAAATCAAACTTCAAAATACTATAACTAAGAACAATTAGAAATCAGAAATCATCTCCAATCATTGAAGCAACCAATGTGAAAAATGAAGTAAAATGCCTTATGAGGTCACATGACGACATATATCCAAGACAGTCATAGTTGGATTAATTTCTTAATTTTTACATTTCTTCCAACCTAAAAACAATTACAAAATCAGTCATCGCCAATCAGATATCCGGTATTAAAATCAAGTTGAGTACTAGTATTGAAAGATTATGATTTTGAATAGTTTGACCACTCTTTGTCAAATATCATGAATATGTAAAGTTTGAGAAACTGGAAGGGGATGCAATTATACTGCATGGCAGAGTGTAAAATATTTGGTAGAAGTTGGTAGGATTGAAGACTTAAAATATATGACAAGTCTTCAGAATTGATCATGTGTATGTAGTAATAGTCTTGTACTTTTAGGCTATTTGAAACTGCCAGTATGGAAATATATGGATTTCCCAATTTGCAGATTTCTAGCTTGATTCAGAAATCAATTATTTTTTATAGTAATGATAGCAAATAAGTTAATTGTCCAATTTAGCAACAATTCCTTGTAATTCAATTCCAGAAGTGACTAAGCGGAAACTGTTAATTTCAACGGACTTGTTTAAGTCACTTGTACAGGGTGAACCAAAAAATGCAAACCGGCCATGCATATGCTACAGTGATTAAACTTTGTCAACTTAAAGAACATTGAACCAACTTTAAGTATGTCAAAAAACGATTTGTCATCTCTATCGGTTAAAAAGATATGCATTGTAGGGTAAGTTGAATTTCTTGGTACACCCTGTATTTGTCAGATTAATTTTGTATTAAGGGCTAGTGCACTCCATATGCAAAAACACCTAACTCTGGATGATGTAAAAATATTCATGATATTTACATTGAAACCTGTAAACTTGAAAATCTCTAGATGTGGAACACCTTTGTTAGTCCGTTAGTTGAGCACTTTTCAGAGTCCCAAGACCAACTGACTTAATGTTAAATGAACCTCTATACGTGGAGCGCCTCCAAAGTGGAACCCTTTTTATTAAAGGTACCAACGGTGTTCTACTAAGGGTTTGCTGTACTATATATACGGTAGATATATAATATATACAATAATATATGCAGATCACTGTGAATGTTTCAAAATGTTTATTCACTGGGTTTTTTTAGTTACAGGGTTTATTACAAGGGAAATAAGTGTATCCCACAAGGGATTAACTTTTGCCAGTCTTTGTTTAGATGTAGGACAAGGCTATATGAATCTTCATTAGAGTGAAAAAATTCATGTTTCTTTATTCTTATTCTAAATTATGTAAATAATAAAAATTGTAAATAAGTGAATAAATTATAGAATATGTACATTTGTAGTTTTAGTATTTTTTAGAAAATATAATATGTATATACAGTATATTTGTTTGTTTTCTTTTTATTTCATTGTTAGCCCTATTTCTGGAGATAATTTCCATCAATTGTTCTGAGAACAAATATTGATTAAAAGCCAATTGAGACCAATTCACGATTTTAATTCACGATGATAATAACAATATATTAACTACTATTCTAGTATTTATATATATTATTTTAGAAAGTTTGTCCTGCAATGTTTACATTTTTTCAATGCAATCGCAAAACATGTTTTCTTGCACAGATCCATGGGCTTTCAACTAGTTGAACGCCCATGATAGATCAGATATCAAGTCAAAAATATTTTATTGTGAAAAAGTTAGAAATACTTATTATCAATTTCTTTACTCCTTTCACCAATACACCTTATATAATTCTAGTAAATCTACAAATTGACTTTTGACATAGTCTGGTACTTACCAAATACGTTCTACAGGGTGACACAATTTTTTATCCCCTTCTTTTTTTTATTTATTTTCCACTTGAAATTTCTATTTGATACTTTGAGAGATATTCCAAAATCAAAGGGTTGAATTTTTTGTGTCACCCTGTAATACTCAATCTGGTTTAGATAAGGTTAGTTAAATATCCACCTGACTTTATTTTTGACTACTTACAAATAATCACTGTTGTATTGTATTTTTATCTTCCACAATTCTGTTCTGGAAAAACTGTTAATAACAAGCTGTCAGATGTTTTTTTGGTATTGTAATGCAGTCTATTTTTCGAAATTGTGAAGTTAGTTGCCTAACATTTAGATGTTGAAGTAGACCACCAACCCTCTGATTTTTGTGGCATCTTTTGGAATTCGGAATATTTAAAATCAAGTGGAAGGCTGTAAGGTATGCTATTATCTGATCAAAATCCACATCATTTATAAATATATATAAATATACTACAGGTTTCATTCATTTGTTTTTCAATCATTCTGTTACATGACTATTGGCACTATTGGTTGGTGTTCCACTATGTTGCCCATTGTGCTAAAATTTACAAATACGAAACTTCTGTAAATCACCGCACTAGCTCCACTGATCATAAGTTGATCATTTTTGTAAACACACTTCCCTTATCTCGTTGATCTTTCAATTCTCTTTAGAAATATGAACAGGTATTTTCCAATTACCATGTGACATAAAATTAAAACATACAATTTACTAGAGATTTCAAAATAAAGTTGCAGTTTTGTTGCAGTAATTTGTGCAAAATGGATATATATAGTTGTTTCGATTGAAGGGGTGCGAGTCTAGAATGGAACAGCCAGTCTCCATATTGAAGTTCAGTGGAGTTCTCTGTCGTACATTTGCAAACTTATAATTGGATTTAAATCGTGTTCACTGGAAATCGGTAGATCTACAGTTGAAAAGTTAAATGTAAGTTTTGTTTTTAGTATTTTATATCATATAATTTGGATGTTCATGGGCCCAGACCTTGCAATCTTGACTGTATGATCACATTTTTAAACTGAAATCCGGCGAAATCCATAGCAGAAATTGGGTCATTTTCCAATTTCAGAATATTTATTCCCAGCCTAGATTTCAACCTTGTAGGTTATAAACTTATCAGTGCCTTAACCCAGTCGCGCATTGAATGCTAAAGACCAAATTATAGGTACTCCATAGAACAGTAACTCTTACCTAACATGAATTTGTAGACCTAGCCTTGGAGTCGGAACATTTGTTACTTTTTGAGCAAAGATTCATGATTCATAGATTTACATGTGTGGCAAGACAGTGGCCACTTACATCTGATCATTTGATTCATACTAGTGTCAGATGTTAACAACATTTCGTCCAGTTTTCGAATATCGCCATTTTTTGGAGCCGTTTGTTTGAATTTTAGACAAAATCCTGACGAAATCATGCAATATCTCATCAAAGAGCCCAGCCAGTTCTTATCCCGTACCAGGACTTTAGTCCTGTACTGAGCGCATACATTTGCCTGTACGATAACAACTTGGGAGAATTATCTACGCCCCTTCCACTTAAGAAACCTACCTCAATGCATTCTAGAACTCAAAATGTAACTTCTAATATATTGGAACTGCGGATTGTCTGGGTTAGTTGGCAGAACGAGGTCTTTTTGTTTCTTATGGCTCTTTTGGTCAAAGTTCGATTAAGATGGCGGTTATAACGGAATTTCCCGAACTTTGAAGCAAGAGTATATACACAGTAAAGCCTGTTATTGAACTTTCTTTTGCTGAGAAAAAATGTTCAGTGTTGGTAGGGGCAGAGAGGGTGTGGAAGAAGGGTGTCCACAAGAGAGAGGTATTCACTAAGTCAGGTTTTACTGTATTTGTAACTGAACTAATTGAGTCAAGTAAACATCAACTTTTAGGAGCAACCAGTATACATAAAAACGCATGTAGCAGTTGGAAATTGTTGATTGCAGGCCAAGAGCAAAAAATGATTAAAACAATTTCCTACTGTTTCATAAACAGTGAGCATAAAATTGTATTTTGAGTATTTATAAAGGGGTTGGATAAAATTTCAATGTCAGTTTAACAGTTACTCAGCTTTCGGATGTAAAATCTTACTGAACTATAGCTATAAAGATTCAGATAGGTAATGAGATTAAGTTTTGAGAAGAACAAAGGGGCTAATCAGTCCTTAAATTACTTTTTTAACAATTGTTAACAGTTTGAAATGGCCCCTTAATCACCACCAAGAATGTTTCAAGGCCATCATGTATTTCATTAAGGCAGGCCTATTGAGTTAACTGAAAGCTTTTTTAATGATGTCGTCTCATCTTGGGAGAAAATTTTTCCGAACTATATGAATGAAACAGTTCATATCCTACCTCTTAGCATTTTTTCGACTTTGCTTCTTGAAAGAAAGCTTCGTCTTCACTCTTTCAGTATACAAAAATATCTCTGAACTCATTGAGCCATTCACAGTTCGTGGTCAAACTAAGGACAGCATTCTATATATGGTCATTTACTCTGCACACTAGGGTAAAAGCTGCTAAAATTGAACTTTCTTATGTCAAGCAAGTTGGGTGATTAATTACACCCTTGTAGGCCAGTAGCGTATGTTTACTAAGCTTGCTGCTGTGCAGCCCTATTGACAATGTTAACACTTTTGAATTTCAAAATACGGTTTTGTTCAATTCTAGCAAGAATATACAAAAGTTTGTGACATGACTGTTAGCAAGAGATGACCGGGTTAATTTCAGGGTTCAAAATTGATTTGTTTTTAAACTTCTGTTCTGAAATTATGCTAAATCAGAATAAAGTTAAAATCTACTTTTTGTACGGGAAATTCTAGAGCATTTTCTAAAATCTTCTCTTGGTGAAACACATGATTAACAATACTTTGCAACAATATTTTTTTATAAAGTTGGATCCATATTATGAAGGACAGTATATTGCACTTGAAAATCAAAATATAAAGCTATAGTAGCAAGTATAAAGACAAGAAAATGACACATAAAAAACAAAAACACACATAAATCCGAAGGTAATTGATATTCAATACTTCATAAACAATACTTTGCAACTATTTATTTTTGCAAAGTTGGATCTATGCTATTGAGATAAGTCTGTAGTACATAGAAATCAAAATATAAACATGTAGTAACAAATATTAAGTACCTATAATATATATTTTATATATTCACTCGAAAAATCCTTGTGTTAATGGTAAAATACTATAGCAAAACGGAAAGTTCTACGTACATTGATCTTGTTAAGGTACATATTTCCTAAAGTCAAAATTGTTACTAAAAGAAAAGAATTATGGATGGTGAAAGATATTTGAAAAGTCTAATTGCAAGTAAAATTTTGTTGAAATAAGTAGTTGCAAAAGTGCTTTAATTGTAACATTTTACCAGTGGAGAAGTAGAAATTCCAAGAAATTGTTTCTCTCTGAAAATTCAAATGTTATATTTGAGAAATGACCCACACTTCTTAATGAGTAATATCTAGGAGTTTTACTGGATCAATTTTCTTAAGATTTCACCATTTGGTACTTATTGGACAAGAGAATCCAATAGTAGGGTTCATCATTTTCAGAAACAAAGTTAAACTAGTTTTTAAATCACTTTAAACAGACATTCTTTATGTGGGTTAATTAAGCTAGCCTTCATAGCATTAGAGAAATCTATGCTATGCTTATCTCAGAATGCCTGATAAGGCTAGTAAACAAAGCAGTGGCTCTGGATCAAGGGGTAATTAATCTTCTGAGCTTTTGACATTAACAGATACATGGAGTCTCCAAGTGTGTCTGACATCATCGTAAAGGTTAATGAGCACGCATTTAAGCATGTTTTCCTTCCAGCTCGCTGATTGATTGAGAAAAGATCAGCATGTTAGGTTTGAAATGATTTATGACCCGGACTGTGACAGGCATTGGTGATTGGGGCAGGGCTACAGTCGAGGGTAGTTTATAACTAGACCGCACGCAGGGTATTCATATCCTCAAATTGTTCATGATTTTAATAAATTCTGTCATGAAATATCCAAAAATGACATCAGGATGTTACTTTTATTCATTGAGAACTGCATGCAGTAGCAAGCTAATTCAATTCTTGGCAAGTTAA